CCTTGTACAGTCGTTCTCGCTTCGGCAGAACATACTAAAATTGGAACGATACAGAGGAGATTAGCATGGCCCCTGCGCAAGTATATCAAGAAAATTTTAAAGATTTAGCTATGTAGGTATGCACTTATTCCTGATGGTTATCAATAATTTTCAAAATATCCAAAAAAAACTTTATAAAACTCTTCATAAATAAGTAAACAAGAATATCACATTATATTTTTGAAAAATTTTATTNAATCCAATACGGTTGCCCGTCACCCTAGGGTGGGGCCTCCGTAAATAATAATATGTGGATTCTAATATAATGAGTTCCTGGTACAAAACACCTGTCTACACATCACATGAGATCGAACGAATCAATTCGATGAATAATTTTACCTAAAAATTCTGTTTTATTTTGTGTTTGTTTGAAAGTAAAATTCTAGAGGACAATGTTTTAAGTGCATAATTTAAAAGAACAAATAGAAGAATGCTGTGAATATGTATGTTATAAAATTTAAGATTCAAAAACGAATAATTAATTAATAATTATGCTTGATTTGTTGTTTCATTTTTAACGTTGTTTCATAGGTTTTCTTCTATTCAGAATAAGATTTAATTTTTATTTCATTGGAACAGGTATTTGATAACATTCGCAATTTTCGCGTTGCCACATTCCACCCGAGAAGCCTTTTGTCCGACAATTATGGTTACATAATCTATCCTCTATCCATGGATTTTTATAAAAGTAACTTGGTCCACCTGATTCTAATAAAATTAAAAAAATACAGAAAAACGTTTAAAAAGTTTTCCAATTCATTTTGAGACAATACAAATTATATTCAACAATTTGACACGTATAGGAAAATTTTATTATCTAAAATATTTTCAGAAAAGCTCACCTGGTTTGGGGCTACATTCGACATGCACATGGACACTCAAAGCTTTTTCAAAAATGATTCTAAATAAAATCAGGAGGAAAATTTTTAATGAAATATTTCAATAAATTACCAATAATGAGAGTGACGATGAAGAATATTTTCGAAATGAACTTCATTTTATTTCTTGAGCTGATCACAACTTTTCAAACTTTAACTGATGACAATAAGGAAATTGATGTTATTTATACTGTTTTCGCATAATGAATGTTTAAAACGAATACGAGCACGAAGAGGTTGAGGAGCAATTAGAGGGTTCTGATGTCTGTATTTAATTCGTAACTTTTTTGGGATGAAAGTATTCAAAAGGCAGTGTTCTCAAATTTCATAAATACCACTTTTTTGTTTTTATTTGCATGTATTAGGTACATTTTTTGCTTGCTATACTATCAAATAAAAGTAACACTACTTAGTAATACGACACTTTTTTAGGAGTTGTTGATATAAATCGTAGTTCATAACTTCTAAAAAGTTTTTCTTGCCCATAATTTCGGTCCGTAATTTATTCCTTGATTTTGATGAACATTACAAAGACCTACATGAAAGTTTATTAAATACCTATTCATTTGAAGTATGACATAAAAATTTGGACAACATTAAGAAAAATAAGAAATTTAACGGTTACATAACATTTAAAATCATTGAACGATGCCAAAGAAATCGCTTATTAAGAACAAGTTTGTAATCCTTAGTTAACATTTCCTGTAAACAAAAGAATTCTTCGAACTATCTATTGATGAAGCATTTCTAATTTAAATGCCTCGCTGATAAGATAAAATCTGACAATGATCAAGGAAAATAAGAAAAAGTTTATTTGGATTTCAGAATTTTATTTTGGCTTTAAATTTATCAAGAATTGTGAAAAATTGTCAACAAATTGTATTTATGCGTATTTACTGTCTGACTACAAATGCTTTCCCTTGGCCCTTACAAATCAATCCGTCTACGGAAATTCTAATCTTTGAAGTGCATATTCAAATATATACAAATTAGGCACTAACTTTGATAACTAAATTCAATGGAATAATTCAGTTCATAAATTTTATGTTTATGTTGCTTACTCTCTCCTTCATTAATTTTAAAATATCTTGACTCAACACATCAACGGTTGTGTATCGTACTTTTTGGAAATTAAAAATGTCTATTAGAAACTCTAGTACTTGATTTCTGAAGTAATAACAAACTTCTTTCAGATTTTCGTCGGATCCGAAAAATCCCCACGCCATCAATGGTGAAATTTGCTCACTTATCAAATAAAAATAAGCCATGAAACCATTGGAAATTGTAAGCATTCGTTTTTTTGCTTTCAAAACACTCCAAACTGCAGTTGTAAGTGCTGTCTCTTTAAAGCCATTTGATAAAAATCTATTTTGAATTACCGCCATGACAGAACCTGGTGGGCTGTCAAGATCTTTAAATGCATCGAGAATGATAAAATCCAACACAATATCATAAAATGTCATCGCTTTAACACCACGTAAATTAAGCTCCATTTCAGCCCGCTGCCAGTTAACTGGATCTTGTAAATATTCCAACATTGTTTCATATCCGACAATAAAATCTTTCGGATCCTTATCACCGAGACACATAAGATCAGTTAAGATTTGTCGTCCAGTATCTGACACCCATTTTGACGTCATAGGATCTCGGAATAAATGATGAAATGCAAGACGAACACAATGAAGTTTCGCTAAATATTCAGTGTCGCTTGCAACACGAACAAGCTCCGTTCTTAAAATTCGACATGGTATTGGATGCTCGTCCATTTGTTTTAAAATACTTTGATAAAGTGGATGTTCCAAATGTTCTGTTTCCTCAGGTTCAAAATCTTCAAATTCTCTCAAATCGGCAATTTGATCTAAAGCACTCGCAAATGATTCAGCAGAATCAAAGTTTGGATCCTGAGGATCATCATGATCTTGTCGAAACAGACATGAACGCTCATCCAAAAATAATAATTCTGATTGTTCTTGTAGTTGGTAAGCAATGTCGAGTAAATTTTGAATTTCACGGAAAAATTCCGCATCTTCAGGTTGAGCTGAACCGAGAGAATGAGCTGCAAGAGCATCTTCCCAAAAGTTGATGACAGTATCAAGTTTCTCCATTCCCATCACCCCAAGTTGTTGAGGTGAAAGATAAGCCGTTCCATTTGCAATTGCTGATGGTGCTTTAGTTGATCCTGATGCATAAGATACAATATCAGTTATTGTATGAATTGAACCACCTGGGGAAACCGAACGAGCACTTGTTCTTGATCCAGCTATTGACAAAGCATCTGGAAATTAATTCAGCTTTATTATTCCTCTTAAGCTGAAATTTGATTCAAATAAATACCATTTGGACTTCTCATCGAATTTCTTGTTCTTCTTCCGCTTATCGCTCTTGTTCTTTGATGTCTAATTGGTCCTCGTGACTTTCTTCGAGACATGTAAGTTGCTAAAACTCCCAAAATTGCTACTCCAGTTGTTACCGATATTAGAATGACCTTAAAATGTTATTAATTAAAAATTCATGTTTTTAATTTTATTTACAATTTCTCTAACTCACTTTATGTGTTATTGACACATTTTGAGAAAACAATTTCAGTCCTGACATCTCTTATATTATTGAATTATTTAAAGAGTCACAATAATGATTTTAAACAAAAGTTATTTAATCTTTAAATTTTTCGAAAATTTATCAAAACTTGTCATGCTTCTTAAAGCATTTGGGCGGCTTAAAACTTCAATCACTTTTAATGATTTCTTAATTACATTTCAAAAGTCAGTGTCGCCAAGATTTATGAATATTTTAGTAAAATCAGGTAGATTCACAGATTAACACAAGCGTCAAAGGTCGGAAGATGCAAAAGATTTAACCGGAGTCTGCCTCTGTTTACAAATTTCTAAGATTGATGCAAGAATTATTGAGCAAGGTCATTGAAATTACAAAGAATTCCTAGAAATCGGAATTTCCTTTTGTGGGATTTCGTCATAGATTTTAAATTAAAACAACATTTATTAATGTAATATTCTCTGTTTATTCATTCTTTAAATTATTATCAAAAGACAATATGAAAAATAAAGACGTTTTTAAACTAAAATTAAATTGAATTGTCACTTTCACTAATCACTAAATAAAATAATTTCACATCTCATCGTGAGCTAATGTCAAGCATTGAGCATTACCTTTGTATTCTCCTTTATCCTCAAGAACAGCATGCGGTGCACATCTCCAAGGATCATTTGTCTCCACTTGCCACTTCCATAATTTCTGTTGTAGATCTTTTAAAATGTCTGCATAATCTTTTTTATTTGCAATGTTGATCGACTCTGATCCATCTAATTTCAGATCGAAAAGTTCCCATTCGTCTCTTTTATAATATGATTTTAGGTTTTTATACCAAGGAATTGACATTTTACTGATAGTTCGATTAATTAAGTCTTGGAAAGTAGGTGAAACATAGAAATCTTGATCGATCGGAAACATTGATTGATAATTCAGATTATGAATAAGTTTATAACGTTTCGTTCTTACAACTCGCATTGGATATGACATCGTCACTTCATGAAAATTGTGACTTCCAAACACCGGGAAATCAGTGTCGCTTGGTTCTTTATCAAGAATTGGAATCAAACTTTTTCCTGTCAACGACATTAAATTATTTGTGTTATGACTTTGTGACACACCATACCAATCGAGAAATGTTGGAACTAAATCTAACTGTGATGTCATAACATTGGAAACTTGATGCCAGCGTTGTTTGTGGAAAGGAGACGAAATTAAAAGGGGAACTGCCATTCCAGGATCGTAGAAGTTTGTTCTTCCAGATGGAAATGGTGGGCCGTTGTCAGAGGTATACACAATAAGTGTATCATTTAATTTTCCAGCAAGTTGAAGTTCTCTTATGACCAGACCAATGCCCTGATCTAATCTCGATATTGTCATGTATTGTGCTGCAATATCTCTTCTAGCTGGTTCCGTATCTTGAACATAATAAGGCAATTGAATTTGTTCCCACTGATAATAAATCGGATGCCAATCAGGAATCAACCCCATTCCTATTTCTCCAGATCCCCAACGCTCACAGAATGGCCCATATTGAGGTGTCACATGTCCACAACGATGAGGATCGTGAAATGCAACCATAAGGAAAAATGGATCATTTTTTGTAGTGTTAAGGAACTCACGAACAAGTAATTTGATTTTTGTTATGTTTCGTCCAACTTGGTTGATTGAATGTTTCTCTTCAGTTTCTTCATAATCAAATTTAAAGACTTCAGATGGCCCGACATGCTTTTTGCCTATTAAACCGGTCCTTATGTTGTTCTTTCGTAAAAGTGAAGGTAAACTTTCTATATTGTCAAAAGAATTGAAATGATTTTCTGCTTGATGTAGACCATACATTCCATTTTGGTGTGATGGTGACCCTGTCAATATTGCAGCTCTTGAAGGTGAACATGAACTCACTGACACAAAATTCTTATTGAAAATTACACTTCGCTTTGCAAATGCATCAATGTTTGGTGTCTGCACTATCTTATTGAGATAAGTTCCACTTTCAAAGCCAGCATCATCAGCTAAAAATATTTATTTTATAGAAAATGTAAAAAAGTGATGAAAAATCTCACCGAGAAGAAATAAAACGTTTGAATGTTTTGTTCTTTTTGATCTTACATCACTGATGAAAGAACTTAATGCAATTAAAATTATTATTTCTTTCAAGAAATTCATAATTTTATGTTGATAAAAATTTAGTGAAAGTAATTTCTCGTTAATGATGACGTACGAATAAAAACAGAGTAAGAGATGCAACATGTAAACATTAAATCTGTTTTTGCTTCTTTCGTTGCTTTAATGTTAAAAAAATTGTTTATTAGCAAGAAATTATTTCAACCGATATCAAAACTAAAATAATCAAAACTTTAATTAATTTTTCTTCTTCATCTAAATGAAGATTTTATTTTCTAAGTAAATATTTATAACATTTCTCTACTCAACATATAATTTTGGAGCATTTTTTGTATTGTGAATACATTTTTTTCTTTACTACATAAATTACATTGGTGAATGAATATTTAAGTCACAAAAATAATCTACTCACATTAATTTCATTAAATTTATGCTTCCTTTTAAGTTCATCTAAGATTGACAAAAGGCAAGGAATGTTGATAAGTTATTTTCTCTCTAAATTCATTTCACTAAATAGATATTAGATATTTCTTTCTTTCGTTATTATGTTTCAAAATATATAAAATAAAGTTCATGGCACTAAATTATCAAATGAAACTTTGAACTTTTTTCATCACTTTTATCTGGAATAAAATTTTTATTTTTTATGTTTCCAGTTTGAAGCACGCAAGACAGGCGTTTGAAGAACTAATGCTGTTTCCGCTGATATGATTGGTAAAAAATTGGTCCAATGATAATTAATCAAGTGCGGAATGTCTTCAAAGACGCGATCCTTTGTTCTTACACAACCTTCTGGATCAATCAAAAGCAAATGTTTGGCATATCCTGATTTCATTCCAGTGAGAACGAATTGACCACGAGTATTCTGAGATTCCCTGACAAGAAAATCGCCATCATGCTTCAATAAGCTTTCTGCATGTGTGCGAGAAATTGATCCATGAAACCAGTTCTCCATTAAAAGCTTCGATTCCTTATTTGAACCTTGAAAAATTTAGACTTTTCATTTAATAAATTCAGAAAAAAAATATTCAATGAACTCACATTTCATTAATTCAGCAATCAATTTATCGCCGTCATTGTCTTTGATTTTCGATTCATTCACGTACTCATGTTCAATTGGACTGTCAAGATCGATGAGATTACTTGAAAGTCTTTCACGACGTTTATCGATTGGTGCTGGTGAAGTTAATGTAACGTCTGGTGGAACTTTTCCTGGCAAATCATTGTAATATTCTTGATCATCAACTTTAATTTCTTTCTTTCGAAAATGCTCCAAAGATATTTTTTTCTTTTCTCTGAAATAAGAATCGCATAAATTAAACTGTTTAATGTTGAACAAAATTAAGCAAAATTACGGCTCAGATTTATATTCTTTGTAACGAAATTCAAAAGCTTCTCCCAATGTTGAAATCAATGGCTGAGCTTTGTTTCCACATTCAAGAACATAACAAGCTCGCCAATCTAAATGAAAAATTTCCGTAATAAGATATTCAATTAAAGCAAAATTTTCATTTTCGAACCTGTTACATCTTTTGCGACGTATGCAATATAATTTAATGTTTCCTTGAATTATAAAAAATAAATTTCGTAAAAAGTGTAAAATAAATTAAAATTATAAGACTCACAGTGTCACCTCCACTTGCAAAACTTATTCTTGGCATATCATGGCGTGCAATAACTTCACTCGTTTCTGTTGATTTAATTTCAAGACAACGTGATGAGATGTTAAGTGAAACATTCGAGCCGGCATGTTCCATACATGGAAGTGCGCTTATATATTGCTGTATTCTCTTTTCGACTATTCGCTTATTTGTTTTCTTTATATTTTTGGCATCACGTACACGATGGATACATTCTCTGTTCAGATAATATTTAAATTATTGCTGAGATTCCTTTTCTTATAAATTCTTATTCTCTTTTTACCTGGCAATTAATGATCGCGTACTAAAATCTAAAGCCTTCATGGAAGCATAAATTTCAATACAACCAACATAAGTTACATTAAATGTTACAGTTCCTCCATTTCCTATAATATTATTTTCTCGTACAACATTTTTAAGAGGACGAGACAAAAAGTTTTTATCGCCACTTTGCATGTTGCTTCAATGTTGATGTTTTGCCGGAAAGTCACATGTGTGACTTTCAATGCTTTGTTATTGTTTTTAAATGTTTTGTCACGAATGTTTGATGGGTTGCAATGTTTTACAACATTGTTACAACAAAAGAAATTTTCACGGAAATTTAATTTTAAAACCTTTTGTACGCTTTTCTGAACAAAAATTTCGAAGAATCTTCACTTATTTTTGTTTATGTAAATACTTATCAATAGTTTAAAGCTATTTTGAAGTGTTATTTTTGGTGTTTAAATCATTAAATTAAATAATACGATTTATTACGAACTAAACAGAATTAAACGATGAAACATCAACGTGTCAGAAAGTTGACGTTAAAAAAAATCATAAAGCAGCTGAAGCATCAAATATTCCTTTGATATGGAAATTCAATTCCTTCCGGAGATTAAATTTCAAGTAGGTATATTTCAAGTAGTATTTTTATTATGATTGAATTGAAAGGAATTTATTCAATGAATTGCCCTTTAAATAAAAAGAAATGTTACAATAATATCTGTTTTTCAATACCGTCAACCGGTTTATTTATCTTATCACGTTTTCCAAGTTTTTGTTTCGTAAGTAATCGATTATGAAAACTTTCAAGAGGGAATAAGAATACTATGACATTTGTTTTACGTTTCTACTGTATGTACAGTGATATTAATTTATAGACCCGTTTGAAGTGTGATAACAAATTAATGTTCTGTTAGTTCCTTTAAAGTTTTTGCGGTAAACACATCGTAAAAAAGAATTTTAAGTAATATGCAAAACGATCCTCTTCATAGTTTTCATCGCGACAATCAGTTACGTGTTGCTCAGCCCAATTCTATTGAGCCAATTGTTTATCAGAGTAATCAAAGTATTGTATCAAACTTTACGGGTAAAAATGAGTCATTTACTTAATCTATTTTTGAAAACAGAATTGAAAAAATATTTCTCTTATCTATTACAGCTAGTCAAAGTATTTCAACTGTGGATCAGTTGTCATCGTCACAATCGACTCTCTCTTCATATTTACCAAGATCAGGTTTAAATTCTTTGAACGATGTTCCTTCATGCCACATTCATCAAATTTATGAACTCAATGAGTGTAATATTCTGAAAATTTTCGAAATTTTATCTTTTTTGTTTATTGATATTTTACAGCATTGAGTATAGCTTCAGAAAACCGTTTTACAGTAAAGACCTACGACAATCATTCAATATTTTTGGCATCAGAAGGATCAACACAACGTGATCGTATGCTTTGGGGAAGTTCACGACCATTTATGTTGCATTTAACGGATCAACGACATCAGCAAGCTATTACTTTGAGAAGAATTTTCGGGTGTCATTGCTTTTGTTTTCCATTGAAGATGCAATGCATGGAAGTTTGGCTTCATTCAGGAGTTTTACTTGGAGTCGTCCAAGAAAAATTTTCAATAACAAGTCGGGAGTTTGTCATCGAAAATGAGAGAGGCGAAGCATTATATGTAGTGAACGTTTCACTTGGAAGTTCTTTATGCATGGATAAAGAATTTCATTTTCCAGTAAATTTTATTTTATTTTCGATTAACCTGTTTATTAATTAATTATCTCATAGATCTTAACAGCTGATAAAGCACATCAAGGTGGAACAATTGTTCGTCAATGGAACAGTGACATAAACACATTCACGATGAATATTTACTTTGCTGACCCAACTATGGATTCAAAAATTAAATCTTTATTTTTAGGACTTGGATTTTTGCTTGATTATTTATTTTTTCAGTCAAGAAGTTGTTGCTAAATTTCAAGTTAAGTTTATAAATTTATTTAATTTAATACAAATTCAATTTAAAAGTTAAATTTACACAAAATTCATGTCTGACTCTTCTGGCGATGTGTCGTTTTTGTAGATTTTGACACTTCTATCAGCATCGATTACTTTATTAACTTGTGAATCGCCACAAGTGTTTCGGTGTCGTTTTCGATGTGCAAGGAGATTAGAAATACATGAGAACCTTGATCCGCAAGAACTGCATTCAAAACGTTTGATTCCCGTATGAATTGCTTTATGGAAAATCAGATTAGAAAAGATAAAAATAATTAAACACATTTGACTTACTGTTATGAGTTAGCAAACTTTCTCTGTGACTAAATTCAGCCGGACAATGTAAACACTTGAAATTCTTCTCCTTCGTGTGTGATCGAAGGTGAACCGTCAATTGACCTTTTGTTCTGAATTTCTTTGAACAGTAAGAACATTCGAAATCTAATTCATTTGTATGGACAGTGATGTGACATTTCAAACTTCCAGCGGAATGATAATTCTTATTGCAATGACTGCATTGATAAAGTGGCGCCTTTCCGCAGTTGCTACGTTCATGATCTGATAAAGCAACTTTCGTATTGAAATTTCGACCTGACATTTAATTCATTTTAATAATTTCATATAAAATTTAATAATTTAACTTACCACAAAGTTGACATACAAAATTGTATTTTTTCACAGACAATTTCTTTCCTAGATGAGCATATTTCATGTGGCTTACAAGTTTATCTGGTTGCTCAAAAATTTTATTACATTCATCGCATTTAAGTCTATTTTCATGTTCATTGATTTGATGAGAATTTCTTTCTTCATTTGTTTCAAAATATTTTACACAGCATGAGCATTTATGAATGAGATTACCTTCGGGTCCGTGGACTTTTTGATGTCGTTCCATCAGTCTCATGCTTGTGTAACGTTTTGGACAGAAGAAGCATTTAAACATGAGTTCTTTTTGAGGTTTCCGATAGCGATTTGTATTATCGTAATTGTAATTTTGAATGACTATTTGATGTTCGGTTTTGAGATGCTTTATCGTGATGTTTTTCTTCTGGTAGATTTTAGGACAGAACTTACATTGAAAGCTGCTTGCATTGACAATTTCAATGTATTCTGCTAACTCACTATCTTCATCGTAAAGTTGTTCGCTTTCAAAAATTTCTTCATAAGTTTCAATTACAATTGCATCGTCTTCAATGACTTCATTATTCAAATGATCATCAGAATAAGAATCTTGATTGAGAGCGATGAAATCTTGAACAAATTCTTCTACTGTTTCTGGAAAAACTTCGGCCTTAGATTCAATTTCAATATCATAATCAATTGCATCTTTCTTTTGCTGTTCTTCTCTTTCCTTTTCTTCGATATTTTTGATTTCATATCCAATATAATCGAAAACATCAAGATCCTTTTTCTCCTCGATTATATCCATATCAAGCGATGTTTTTATGCTCACATATTGATGATCAGTCATAGGATCGACAATCATTTCTGATGCTTCCTGATATTCCTGATCATAAATGATTTCTTCTACATTTTCATTTTGCTGTTCTGAAAACGTTGTCTGTAGATCATTATTTATTATCACTGTAGGAAAATCTCCTTTGCATTTTACTCCTGCACGTTTGAATATTTTTCTGTTTGTATAAATTGGTAAACCACAAGAAGTTGGCCGCACTTTTCGGTGCTTGATGAGATTTCCGATACATGAAAACTTTGCTGAACAACATTCACACATATAAGGTTTAATTCCACTGTGTAATGTGCTGTGTGTAACTAAACTTTCACGATGACTAAATCCTTTACCACATACCTTTCAAAATAATCTAATTAATAACAATTTGAATATTTGAATATTTTCTTAACTTACTCCACACACAAAAGCTTTTTCCTTCGTGTGAGATCTTTCATGAACTTTTAATTGTCCTTTTGAAAGATATGCATTGCCACAAATGCTGCAAATAAATGATTTCTCTCCAGAATGTTTCAGTAAATGTGTTTTGAGAGAGTTTTGACTGATGAATTTTGCATTGCATATTTCACAAACAAACTTTTTATCTGTTGAACATCTCGTTTCTATGTGGATTCTTAAATTATATGATGAGCTCAACACAGCGCCACAAACATGGCAAGGATGTTTATTATTTTTGGTGTATCTTTTCTTGGTTTTAGCCATAATTTAAGATTAAAATTTTCTTTATGTTTACTTTTTAACATTTCGAATTTCGAATGTTGATGTTCGAAAATGTTCATCACATTTTAAATTTTAAAAATACGTTAAATTTATTTTCAATTCTTTGACAAATTTTTATTCAATTTTGTTTTTGTTTTGAAAGAAAAGCCAGAAAGAAATAAGTAGCATTCATGAATAAACATTATAAAAGAGAGGACCCATGGAATCACTAAGACTCTATCGGTTCACATATTTCTGTTTTTGTGATATTATCTGTTTCTGTTGGTGTATCGTTGTTGAGGAACGAGGTGAGGTCTGTGAAAAATGTTAAAGTCATTTAAAGGATTCAACATTCAATATGTTCAATTTACCTTCGTAAGTAATTCCTTCAAATAAATCTGTTGAACTTAAAGCATTGTACTTTTCTTGAAATATTTTTTGTTCTTCAGCAAATTTGCTCCAAAAGTTGGATTCATTAGTATCTTCAAACAGAATCTAAATTGAATACAATAAATTAATTGAAGTTCCTAATATTGCACAGAAAAGCTTACCCTGAAACTTTCATAAATTGCTGATGCTGTTGTACGAATTTTTTCTGCCTTTTCATTAAATTCCTTAACTTGTGTTTCGTCCCATTTCCATGAATTTGTATTGCCGATATATTTACGTAGCCTTTTGACGGTAACAACAATGTTTGGATATTTGAGCAACATAATTTTTGTGATGTTCGGCAATATTTTATCTTTAAATGTATCCAACAATTCAATCGAGCGATTCGCATCAACTTGTTCCAATCCTAAAGCCAATTTGATTCCTTGCATTAAATGTATCATCTCAAATTGATTTTCAAGGAAACTTTTCTTGATAGGATCGGTAAGGATATGCTTCTTACTGGCACGGAACTCTTCAACACTCGAAGTCGAGTCAGCAACTGTTATTACAGGTTTTTGTTTCACATCCTCATTTTTTAAACGTTTTCGGGGTGGCGAAAACATCAAATCTGGATCCATTTCATCTAAGTTCATTTTTTTCTCTTTGATTTTTCGTCCACTTCTGCTGACCTTTTCATCATTTACTTCTGGTTCTGGTGTCGGATTTTCTTTCACAACCTTTGGTGCTGGTGTTACAACAGTCGACTTTTTGACTGCTTGTGGTGTTGCTTTCGGAATATCTTCAGCAATTTGCAACTGAGATTCATCAGCTGAATTGTCATTATCTGTTGTATGATCATTCGAAGCATCAAAATCAGGATTTATAACTGATTTATCATCTGGTAAAATTGGCGCTGGATCATTTCCACTAATAGCTGACTCAATTTGATCAACTGCTTCTTTGTAATCACTTTTTTTCAGCTGGCGGTCGGTGTTGAAACGTCCTCGGTTACGTTCATCATAAAGATCTAAATCTTCACTTTTCACTGACGCTGTCTCTCCTGTGCCATAGAAATATACTCGATACCGGTTTTTCGCAATCACTTTTGTAATCTAAAGAAAACGAGAAAGAGACAGAGAATGTTAGAGCGAGAAAGGGAAACAAACATCCAGTAAACAACTGAAGGTATTTCTCTACCATCAATGAATATTCAGAACTTTAATTACATGTGGAATGGAAATCATTACATTTCAAATACTTCCATGCAAAATAATAACTTTAAATTTTAATTTAGCTTTAAAAACATTACAGAAAGCTTCCGGTTTTCAAAGTTTACAAAGGTACACGTTTTGTTCCCCGATACTTACTTTTGCGGGCCATGGAGAATATCCTTTCACTTTAGCAAACACATGCTGTCCCTCGGTAAATATTCCCGACTTTTTACCCATATTTTTATTTTAATTAAAACGTTTGTGAATTATTTTTCAGCATTTATCGCTTTAGGTTGAGATATTCAAAGTTGCTTGCCCCACGTGTGATTGAGGGTTAGCAGTTTTAGCGGTTTTTAAACATCACGCAATTTTAAGCTTTAAATGCTTAGACGGTAAAGCTGATTTGAGTTGCGAAAAGTATAAAATCAAAGTTGCGCACCTCATCACCACATCACCAAAAACAACAATTCAAGAAGTTTATTAGAAATTCGTGAATAATTCAAGATAAAGTGAATAAATTATAATAACATAATGTTAACCAACTTTGAGACCAAGTCCGCTCGAGTAAAAGGACTCTCATTTCATCCAAAACGACCATGGATACTAGCAAGGCAACTTTAAAGAAAATTCCGAAAAATATGAAAAATTAAAAATTTTAAATGTTTTTACAGTTTGCACACCGGAGTTATTCAACTTTGGGATTATCGTATCAGCACATTATTGGAGAAGTTTGATGAACATGATGGTCCTGTTAGAGGTATAAATTTCCATGCTAATCAACCACTTTTTGTTTCGGGTGGTGACGACTTCAAAATTAAAGTAAGAAAATTTTAAATGAAAATTGACTTTCACAGAATAATCATTTATGTTGTATTTAGGTGTGGAACTATAAACAAAAGCGATGCATTTTCACACTGCTTGGGCATTTGGATTATGTTCGAACGACAGTATTTCATCATGAATATCCTTGGGTGTTGAGCGCCTCCGATGATCAGACAATCCGCATTTGGAACTGGCAATCGCGAACATGTATCTGTGTTTTAACTGGCCACAATCACTATGTCATGTGTGCCCAATTTCATCCCAGTGAAGACACAATTGTTTCTGCTTCACTTGATCAAACTGTCAGAATTTGGGACTTCTCAGGTTAGCACAAAACTTAATCTCGATTAATTAACTTGCCAAGAAGAAGAACATTATCGTTTATCTTATTTGTTTTTATTATTTAATTATGATTTTTAAAAACAAATCAAAACCTTTTCTCAATTCAGGCGTTGCTGCCCGTGATGGCATGAAAGGTAGGAACCAAATTAGGTTTTCATTTCTGATTAAACTTGATTTTGCTTTTCTGTATTGTTTTGTTGGGAAATTTTATAAATTGAAGATATTGGTGAGATGGTATGGATAAGGAACCATTTGATAATTTAACATGACAAAATCTAATTTGGTTCTGTTTTCGGAAATTTTCATTTATTCAAAGGAAATTTAACATTAGAATTAAGTTGAATTTTACATGGGAAGATGAGAATGTAATTAATTTTATTTATTTATGAAGGTCTTCGAAAGAAAAGCGTCGCACCAGGCCCTGGAGGACTCGACGAACATCTTAAAAATCCATCAGCAACTGATCTTTTCGGGCAAGCAGATGCAATAGTGAAACACGTTCTTGAAGGACATGACCGCGGTGTTAATTGGGCTCATTTCCATCCAAATCTACCTTTGGTGGTTTCAGGCGCTGATGACCGTCAAATAAAATTATGGCGAATGAATGAATACAAAGCATGGGAAGTTGACACTTGTCGTGGACATTACAACAACGTTTCATGTGTCTTGTTCCATCCACGTCAAGAATTAATCATTTCAAACAGTGAAGATAAATCAATTCGAGTTTGGGACATGACAAAACGTCAATGTTTGCATACATTCCGTCGTGAACATGAAAGATTTTGGATTCTTGCTGCACATCCATCGTTGAATCTCTTCGCTGCTGGTCATGATTCCGGAATGATTGTTTTCAAACTTGAACGAGAACGACCAGCTTATGCTGTTCATGGAAATATTCTCTATTATATCAAAGAGAGATTCTTAAGAAAATTGGACTTTACGACAACAAAAGATTCAGTTGTCATGCAGATTCGTGGGGGTGGAAAGACGCCCGTCTTCAGTATGTCTTATAATCCCGCTTTAAATGCAATTCTTTTATGTACACGAACAAGTAACATGGAAAATTCAACTTACGACTTGTACAGCATTCCAAAAGATTCCGAAACAAATTCTGAATCAGATTCGAAACGTTCATCAGGAATTACAGCGTTGTGGGTGGCAAGAAATCGTTTTGCAGTTCTTGATCGTTCCGGGCAACTTGTAGTGAAGAATTTCAAGAATGAAGTCACGAAAAAGATTCAAACATCACAATCTTGTGATGAAATCTTTTATGCTGGTACTGGAATGCTTTTACTTCGTGAACCAGACCATGTGACATTGTTTGATGTTCAACAATTGCGTAATTTAGCTCAAGTAAAGATTTCAAAATGCAAATACGTTGTTTGGTCAGCTGACATGTCACACGTTGCACTTCTTGCTAAACACACAATTAACATTTGTAATCGACGATTGGAATCATTGTGTACAATTCAAGAAAGCACACGAGTGAAGTCAGGAGCGTGGGATGATTCAGGTGTCTTCATTTACACAACAAGTAATCACATTAAATATGCGATTTTAAACGGCGATCATGGAATTATCAGAACATTAGAATTGCCGATTTACATAACAAGAGTGAAAGGCGCTCAAGTCTTTTGTCTTGATCGTGAATGTCGTACACGAGTCTTAAACATTGACACAACTGAATACAAATTTAAACTCGCGTTGATTAATCGGAAATATGAAGAAGTTCTTCATATGGTTCGCAATGCACGTCTTGTTGGTCAAAGCATCATTGCATATTTGCAACAGAAAGGATATCCAGAAGTTGCACTTCATTTTGTGAAAGATGAAAAGACTCGCTTTGGACTTGCACTTGAATGTGGAAATATTGAAGTTGCACTTGAAGCTGCTAAAAGTTTAGATGACAAAGATTGTTGGGATCGTTTAGGACAAGCAGCGTTGATGCAAGGCAATCATCAAGTAGTTGAAATGTGCTATCAAAGAACAAAAAGCTTTGATAAACTTTCATTCTTGTATCTCATCACTGGCAATCTCGAGAAGTTGAAGAAAATGAATAAAATTGCTGAGATTAGAAAAGATGTTTCAGCACAATATCACGGCGCACTTGTTTTGGGCGATGTCAAGGAGAGATTCAACATATTGAAGAATTGTAATCAGAAATCGCTTGCATATTTGACAGCAGCAACACATGGAATGACTGAAGAAGCTGAAGAAATGTCTTCACAAATTGAAGCTGAGGGAAAAGAAATTCCACAATTGAATCCAAATGCGAAACTATTCAAAGGACCATTGCCGATCCAACAAGCGGATACCAATTGGCCATTATTGACTGTTTCTCGTGGATTCTTTGAGGGTCAACAAATGTCGAGACAAGCTGGCACAGTTTCAAAAGCACTCGCATCTGAAGTTTTGGATAATGATGTCGACGATGGTTGGGGTGCTGATGCTGACTTGAAGTTAGACGACGATGAAGATGAAGATGAAATGAAAGATGCTATTGGAACCCCTGACATTGGTGAGGGTGCTGGTTGGGATGTTGGAGACGATGACATTGAACTTCCCGAAGAATTAGCAAACAAAATTTCACAAGAAGCAAAAGATGGAAATTTCTTTGTTGCACCAACGAAAGGCGTTCCACAAACACAAATTTGGACGAATGGAAGTTTACTTGCGGCTGATCATATTCGAGCTGGCGCTTTTGAATCTGCTTTTAAAGTTCTCAATGATCAAGTCGGCGTTGTCAACTTTGAACCTTACAAGAAACTTTTCAGTTTTCTTTATGTTGGTGCTCGAACTTCTTACGCTTGTTTACCGAATTTACCATCGAAATTCACACATCCTCATCGTAATTGGAAAGATGCTGGTCAGAAAAATGGACATCCAACAGTTGGTGTGAAGCTGAATGATTTAGTTGCTTTGCTTCAGGTAAGTTGATCGTTTTATGTTCTGACAATTTATTAATATTTCATTTCCAATAGAGTTGCTATCAACTAACAACAGTTGGAAAGTTCACTGAAGCCATTGAGAAGTTCCAATACATTGTGTTAAACATCCCACTGCTTGTTGTTGAGAGTCGTCAAGAAATAGCAGAAGCACAACAACTTATGAATATTTGTCGTGAATATGTTGTGGGATTACAAATGGAGACACATCGAAAGACTTTACCCAAGAACACATTGGAGGAGCAGAAGAGACTTTGTGAATTAGCTGCTTACTTTACACATTGCAGTTTCCAACCAGTTCATCAAATTCTCACACTTCGAACAGCTTTGAATATGTTCTTTAAGATGAAAAATTATAAAACGGCGGCTTCATTCGCCAGACGTTTACTTGAATTAGGACCGAGAAATGACACAGCACAACAAGCGAGAAAAATGTTGCAAGCATGTGAAGCTCAACCGACAGATGAACATCAATTGCAATATGATGAACATAATCCATTCAGCTTATGTGCCATCACTTATAAACCAATTTACCGAGGAAAACCTGAAGAGAAATGTCCACTTTGTGGTGCTTCGTACATGCCTGACTACAAAGGATTTAAATGTGAAGTTTGTGGCGTTGCTGAGATTGGAAAAGATGTTCTCGGGTTAAAAGTTTCTCCGCTGCAATTCCGCTAAATTTAAGTAATTTTTAATTGTCATTTATGCTTTCCTTTTGATTTGTATTGAATATCATTAAATTTATGACAGAATTAAATAAAGTATGATTCATGTCGTATTTCCAAGTTAATTGAAGGCTGAACTTTTTTTTGAAGTGACATTAAATTATTGAGTTGGTTGATTATGTGTTGTTAGAGGAAATGCTTTAAGCTTCTTTATGAAAAAATGATAATTCTGCAGTGTGGAAAAGAATGTCGCTATAAATTGGTATCCCGTTGAGCTTTCATTTATCAATTGCGAATTAAAGTTTGAAACGAGATGTCCAAGTTTGCAACAATCATTTTTTGTCTTGTAATTGCTATGTGCATTCTGTCAGCTTTTTCAAAGCCGTCTAGCGAACAGAAGGATGATATTTTTGCCTCTGAAAACAGTAAGAAATAATTTTCCACTGTAAATTAATATTTTGGAAATAATTTTAATGAGTCTCATTTTTAATAGATGAGTTTTTAAACAATCATCGCGATAGAGTTGGTAAGTTAAAAATAAAATGAAAACATAATTTATTAACTTCACATTTCTTTTACAGTTCGTTCAGCTAATGAAGGTTCTATTAAAATTCCATTGAGTGAAAAATAAATTATACATTAAAACTTTCAGATGAAGACCATCATACCGAAGCTCCAACACATCTCGATGTAACTGAACCTCCATCAACATGTGCTCCAGCTTAGTGGAATATCTGAAGAGAAAACGACAATATAATCAATATCAAGTGTTTCATATTTTATTCAATAAACAAAGCACCAATAATCAGTAATCATAATTTGCATAAATTGAAATCAAATTTAAAAGTTACAGCAAAAACAAAAACATTGTTTCGTAACTAGGAATGAAAATTGCAATATCCCAGCCCAAATATTTCATTTTTATTTGATAAGTTTGGCAGTGTTAATGAATTTGATTTACTAAGATATAATAGCAGACTGTTGGGTCTTTATCAAATAAAAAATTTATAATAAATGTCGCTTAAAAATTTTACCATGACCTAAAAATATTAATCTAAAATTGATATGGTCCTACCTCAACAAGTGTGATGACTCAATTTTCAAACAGCAGTTTTTGATTTATTTTGGTGTATTGTTTACGAATGCGCAATTAAAACTTCTCTAAATCAGTTTCTAAAATAATTTATTCCATCAAAGACACCTGAAGTGTTTGACTTCTATCAATCACAACATGTGAATAAATCTCTTTATTAATTATAGATGAAAATCTTTAGTAGAGAAAATTATAAAAATTTGTGTTTCCAGCGGGAATCGATGATAATTTATTGTTAAAATGATAAATTAAAATTCATTATAATGAATTGATAGAATTGGACTTGAGATTTTTGATGGATATTCTTGTGTAGATAGTAGTCCTGCAGATGTTCTAAAATATTTGAGTTTTGAATAAAGCGCACATTAAACTAAATATCAAATTAATTTAAGTCATTTTCTACATATAAATAATCCTTCTGGCTTCTTTACTCATTCCAGTCTCAATCCTGAATGCAATGCATTGCAATGTAACGAACACATTTCATAATTTCTTTTAATGTTGTGAATATGAAATTTCAAATGTTGAAACGAATTTGCTTTCAATAAATTGAAGTAACTTAAAATTTTTCACGTCCATGTAACAACAGCAACACTTCCATTTCCTTCCGATGCTACGGTTCAACCATATAATGTCCAGAAGCAAACTTGCAACGGCAACAAATGTTGGTGTCAAAATCCGGAACGATTGCTTGATTTAAAAATATCGTGAAAATAAAATTCTTCTTGCACTTTAAGCAGCGCAAGTACCACGTAAACAATACTTGAATAATTTCTGCCATAATTTTGTTCTTTTTTTAATAAGTAGCAACCTTCTATTATAAAATTTCGATTACAACTGAATCAAACTCTTTGAAAATTATTTATCTAATTTCAGCAACACTATCAAATAATTATCAGGAATTCTGAATGTGTTTGAAGTTGCAATTACGAATGTACGGAATGCCCTTCCATGACCTACCTCAAGTTTAATTACATTAGTAGCTGTTAACATATCGATTATCTGCATTTTTTTGATAACATCATTTGAGATTAAACGTTTCAAATATATTTATGATGTCAATAAAATGAAGGTGTGAAAAATGTAGCTACTTGCTCAAAAATATCATGCAATGCATTAATGATAGATGCATGGGAATCACATGATTTATATTTATTTATTTTACCACATAGCTTAACTTTAGATTGATATTTGTTATAATTACCAACTTAACTGTTAACATGTGGATAGTCACAAACTCACAAACAAAAATTTGTAATTTTCCGAAAATGATTGAATTTCCATTCAGAGTTTTTATCATCAATTCGAATTTAAGAATCATATTTAACAGATTGATGTAATAATTTCAAATTATCTTATTATTTTCATCGATGTCTATTACTGTGATTAATTTCAGCATGAAAAGGAAGCGTGATAGATGAAAATATTCATTACACCTATCCAATAGACGTGTTCATATTTTACCGTGTGAGTATTTGATTAATCATCTAATATTGAAATTAAAATACAACATCAAATCACAAAACCAGAAGTCAATCAACCTTTATATGATCAAATAGATTTTTAAATGATTGAAAAATTGCTTTAAAGTATTTTTGCTACTTTTTAAAATATGATTCATATTTTTAAGCTTTTTACATTATTTAGATACATATAGCGCCATCTCTCATTTACATTTTCAACTATTATTATGCTGTTGAACGATTCTTATGTTAAAAATTTACCCAGAACATAACGCGAGAACCCATCAACAGCAATCTCATCTTCACATAATTTGAACGGTTCCAACCTCAGCATTTGTGAGGAAATTTCTTCTCTAAAAATATCCACTTTTGGGTCCTCTACCCGAGCGGCACAAAAGGGCGATATCTCACACAAATCTGTCATACGAGTATCGTCTCCATTTAATGGGAAGGCTTTCCTTTAGAATCCGCCATCTGAAAGACATTTGGCTAAAAACTACTGGCTATCGCCTAATTCTATCACCTTAAGTTAGTTATGTGTTGAGCTAGTGAAGAATTTCTTAAGCTGCCTTAAGCTGCCTTATGGAGTTAATGGCATGTGGGGAAGCACCGTAGCGTCAACTGTTAGTGGTAAATTGATACCTCGGTTATTTTCGCTGATTTCTGAAGGAAAAGCCAAAGGAAGTGCCAACTAAAAATCGTCGTAGTGCAAACGTATGCCTCCGGCACGGCGAGTGTGTGCCGCTCGGGCTATCGATAACCTCTAGACATATTTGCAATCCAGTTAACTACTTACGTGATATTACTGAAATATTGCAATCATCTTATTGAATTTTATTAATGTTGAAAGCCAGCTTAATTTATTTGCATCCAATATTTCAGCAGTATCTCATCAACTTCCTTGTTAAATTCTACTATTCAATTACATATTTGCATATCAAATATGTTTTGTGACAGTAACACAAGATTAAGTGTCTCCTAAAGTGGAAGGAAACAAGAATTTGCACACATAATTATTAAAATATACTTCTCCGTACATTTACGTCGTCTTTATTCAACGATTACAATAGAACATCATTATAACGTGAAAAAAATAAAATAAAATCAGCTAAATGGATTTTTTTGTAAAGTGAATTTGTGTGTTTGTTTCTGTTCTTACTCGGCTTTATGTGAGTCATGTGAGTTAAATAACTAAAAAATAACGTTAGCATCATTAAGATCACTCGGCAGTTTTATTGCTGTTTAATTTCTGCAATTCAACAGCATCTTTTGTGGGTGATCCATTTGTATCAGTGTTTTTTTCAACGTCCGGATCTTGAGTTGGGACAGGTTGAGCTTTCGGTCCACAAAGTTGTTTCTTTCCAAAGAATGCATCGGCAAAGAGAGCTGAAAATACAATTCCGGTGGCTACTATCTGACGAGTAGTTAAAGCATTACCCAGGAAGATTACTGATATTAAAACTGTGAAGAATTTCCTAGTTGTCGTTACAATTGAACACGGCAATGGTCCAAATTCAGAGATCATCATGAAAATGAAAACTTGTCCAAAACTGCCCACAATTGCAAGTGTTCCAATCTTCATATAAACTTCCGGATATTTCGTAGCGAATGTGAAGAAATGAGAAATTTCTCCAGAAGCAACGACAATAACAGCAAGGAAAATGGCAGCGAACATGTTGATTGAAAACATGAAATTAAGCGCTGATGGCTTTGTTGCTGCACGCATTCTATCTTCAATTGCACCTAAGACACCGTCTGAGAGTAAACTCATACCAATCAAAATAAGTCCAATACTGCTGTTATCCTTTTCTTCTCCACTTTTCCCATCTTTATAGATGAACATAATTACACCTACAACGATTAAAATTACGAAGAAATATTTCTGAATCGTATACCGTTTATGGGCGAGAAGAACTCCAATTATCATGACTGGTATGGGTTTTGAACTTTTGGCTATTACTTGGGTTGGATAAGTTATAAACCTTAATGCCATATTGCCACAAACCATAGCAGCGAGATAAGTAAATGCTGATGCAGCATACCACCCTTGATGAGTCTTGTCTTTCTCTTCTGATGATTTACAAAGAAGTAAGACTAAAAAATGATAATAAATGAATGGTTAATCATCATCGTAAGTTGTGAAGATAGCACATTGTGTCATATGGAATGTGGCAGTGTTGATGACGACATAAAACGTTTTCAACTAACACGAACGAAAATTTTGTTTCTTCGTTATTTAGTTTCTTTCCGAAAAGTGTTTTTACTTTGATCTTGAACGTGCATCTTCTTTTTTAATTCTGATATCAATTTTCCGCAGTAATGATTCTCAAGGTTGATTATCGCATGATGAAATTTCATTAATTAAACATTCTTAATAGTAAAACTATAAATTTTGCATTAGAAAAATGAACTTCTTATCATTAAGACGGCAAAAACAGTTCAATGCTATTGAAATTTGACACTAAAATATTAACAGGGTAAGTAAACGACATTGAAGCACGTCCATTGTTTTATGTTTTGTCTTCAACACCACCATTTTCAACAATATTATTTCACAAAATATTTCCATTATTGCACTTACGTCTTGCAACGATTGCGTATGACAATGATAAACATCCGACCAACATAAATTCGTATTCATATTTTTCTACAATGAAAATTTGTTGTAAACATCAAAAGAAAATTTTCTTTCTTATGTTTTTACCTCCGCCCTCGCATTTTCCTCCTTCACGAACTTCACCGCCATAACACCCTCGCATAATTTTTTCTTGCATCACCCCATAATACAAGAAGCATACCATTATACCAGCGGCTATAAACAGCATTCTGAAGGTCTCGTTTGCAAATATTTTTGCGAGACCCATTTTGACTTCTAATTCAGAAACTCTTCACAAGGTAATAAAAATTCAAAAGAAAACTTAATATTTATTTCCACCGTCGCAAATAAAGCGCGTTGGGTTCTTATTCGAGTATCAAAAATGAAGCTTTGTAAAAAGTGAGAAAGATCAACAAAACGCTGATCACTCTAGCAAGGCGTTTCGATGACTGAAGAGCAAACTTTTCTTTAGTGAGTGAATGAAAAAGTCACATGTACAGCACGTTGTGAGAAAAAAGAGAAAATGAAAAGGGGAAGAGAAGAAACAGACATAGGAAAAGGGCGAAAAAATATCTTTCAGGGAAATTCCTTACGCACTGAATACTGACGAAATTTATTTTTGAGAGAACCACTGATAATGATTTGGTGAAGCAAAGTTCAAGGTAAATGTATTGAAAACCGGTTTAAAATCACTCTGAAAGTCATTCAAGTGTAAAGAAACCAAACTTCAACATTCTAACAGTTATTCGTGGCTGTGTTGCGCAGTTAAAGAATGAAATTCTCTCAAAACTTCCAAAATATTTTTCTCTCACATTCAACAACAAAAAAGTTTTTTCTTCTCCAGATATTTTGCTTGAAATAATTCTTCGTAAAATTTAATTCTCTAAGCATCGAAATACTTTTTAATAACATCGATTCATTCCGACTGACTATGTATGGTTGAAAACAGAGAATAAATACACAAAAAAGAATCAAAAATCAAGTCACGCTATGAATCATTCATGTAAATCGTAAATCGGAGAGAAGCAAACTATGATTTTGGAAGAATCACCGGCGGATATGTTAGAGTTGAGGTGAGTGTTAATCAGTATGAAAAAAGATTGAAGCGACACGCAATCATTGGAAAGACAATTCCGATTATTTAAACTTTTTCTGCTTCTGCATACAACAAATAAAAATTGTATTCATTCAGTAGGGAAGATTGATGGCAGGTGATGTCGTAATAATCGTTTACAAGGTTTATTTAGGGGTGAATTTAGAGTGAAATTTACAAATCGTTATATGACAATCGTAAAACTTCCTTTTCAGGAAATTGAGAAAATAAATTCAATCGACCAAGAGTCGAAGTTTTTTTTATTAAGCAAAAGATAAAGCTTTTATCTTATCATTATTTCTATAACTTTGCGACATGAGTATACAAATAATGGTGTCTTCAATGGCTATGTCATTACTGTGATAAATAAACTCGTTTGGGAAACTCTGCCCAGTCATCATTCTCATTTTTTGCGATAAGTAGTTTCGCCTTTTGAGGTAGAATTGCGAATGATTTCTTTGGTTTGCGTTATAAATTATATTTATGGTGATAACAAGTGTTTCACTTCCACAAATTCATTCCAACATTCCTAATAGCTTAAATTAGTTGTCATCTCAATGAATGGATGGTCGCCTTTGACACTTTTATTAAGAAACATAAACATAAAAATTAAAGCGAACCATAATTGTTTATAGATTGAGATTCAAGGGCAACATTCAGACCGACTTTGCAATAAAAATAGGTTTTTGTATTTATTATTGGCTTGATAAAATAAAAGAAGCCTAAAATTTAAAACATCTTTAGAGTTACTCACGCTTCATTGTAAACTATTTTAAGAACATGTGGAAAGCAATATTGTTTCAGTGAAGAAAAAAAAGTTGTTAACTTCTGAATATCTAAGATTTCATTTTATCGCCCATTAAATGATTTGAGAAAATTTTGAAAATGCTTGTTGATTGATTGAAATCGAAGGGCGTTTTGTAATCGAGATGACGAAAAGTCATCATTCATTTCTATCAGACATTTATGAACAAAAATAAACTTTATTATAACTTTGTCGATAACTCATGTGTCCATGATTGTTTACAATTCCTAAACGAAGCTTGAAACATCTGCATATCGTCATGGAAATAATGAAAAATCATTTGATATTGTGTTAGCTTTCCTGAAAATTTGAGCTTATTAAAATTATCCAAATGAATTCAAACATTTGTATGGTTTTAAATGAAAAATATAATTTGTTTGGTTCTACTTTTTTAATCGTGACTACTGCCATCTATTTTTCAAAATTATCTGAGAAATCACGAAATGATTACTGATAATACAATGTTAGAATATTTATTTGTTTTCTAGCGAATTATTTTACCAACAAAACATGTTTAAATTACTGAGTATGTTAGTACTAAACATTTACTTATGCTTGTGTGAAAATTGTGCTTATTAATATCAGTACCTTGATATGTCTACACTTATGCTGCATGAAAAACCAAACTTGAACTTACTTTAACGAGTACAATTTATTTTCACAGCTGCAATCAATTCTTTTAACTCACCATCACCTTCAAAATCCTTTTTGATGCAATTTTTTGTAATGTTTTCGAAGACAAACCTCACAGTTTTTAAACTTTGTAAACCATCGAAAGCATCTCCATCGATTTTGTGAATATCATTTCGATCTTCAAAGAAAACGAGAAGAAAATATGAATTTGAAACTTCTTTTTTTACTTCAAATTACCTACCTAAATTCAAATAAGTCAAGAAATTTAATCCTATAAAAGTATTTCGAGTTATAACAAATAGACCATTGTTACTCAAATCCAAACTTCTTAAATTTTTTACATCATCGAAAGCGTTCAAATCGATAATGTGGATATAGTTTTTTGCTACCGAGAATTATTTAATTAATTTTTATGTACCTAGGTACTTAAGTAAGTTATGAAAATATTCTTACAAAGGTCGAGAATCTTTAATGATGATAATCCTTTGAAGTTGTTTCGCTTTATTTTTGACATCCAATTGTTGTGAAAGCTTAAATATTCCAAATTGATCAAATCAACAAAAGCTTCGTCTGAAACGTATTGTATATTGTTGTCATCTGTTAATTATAGTAGATTTAATATTATGTTCTTCATTTATTATGATAAAAATTTTCTCTACCAAGTCGTAAAGTTATCAAATTTATCAAACCATTAAAAACTCCTTGACGAATTTGAATTAATTCGGTGTTTCTCACGTTCAACTCTTCCAACTTTGTTAAGCCGTAGAAAGCATTTTTGAAAATATTTACAATTTTGGAGTTATTGATTTTATAAACTAACAATTCAGGAAAAATCAATGAAACGTTAACTGATAATCGTTCCTTTGGATATTCATAAATCTCGAATGACTTTATTGTGCAGTTTGGAGGTGCGGAGGTTAAAAGTTCAATTTTTATAGAATTTTCGAGGAGGCAATGTTGAACTTGCTCTTCGTTGAATTCGAGAGGTGAACTGTAATTGACACGACTGATTCTTGCAGTGGTTTTTGAATTGTTACAGATTATTTCCCCATCACAATTAACTTTGAGAAAAATTGTCAAAAATGTCATTATGAAAAATTCAAAATACCTGAAACGAATAATTCAATTTTTTTATGAAATATCTGAGAAAAATTTTCTCACCACATTTTTCTTTTAATTTTGCTCTTTTTTTTATATCAAATGATTTTAAAATTTATTATTGCTGACAAATTTTAAGAGAAGACAACTTAATAGTAGCGATTTGGGAGAAGCTTTCACAATTACTGATTCTACGCAGTTTGATTACGACAGATGACCTTCATGCTTTTATTCAATCAAATCATACCTACACAGATAACAAACATAATGATCAAGGAAAGTATTTGTGGGTTTCTGAATTTTATTTCTCACAAAAAATCATCTACAAATGGACAATTTTTTAAGTCTTATCGGATACAGGTCTCAATGAACCAGTGCAATTGGATCGGACAAGTAAATTCAACTCGACCATCGCTTCTTGACTTTCAAAATCTTTCTTGATGCAATTTTGAGATTGCTTTGCGAAAAGAAAGTTGACAGTTCTTAAGTTTTGTAAATCAACAAAAGCATTCTCGTCAATAACTCTGATGTAGTTGCGATCTTCAAAGAGATGAAATAAAATTTATTAAATCTTGTTTTGGAAGAAAGCTTCTAATTTATAATTACTAAGACTCAGATAAACCAGTGACTTTGAATTGTCAAAAAGACCTCGGTTTAGTTGTCTCAACTCATTGACTTCTAATTTCAACGTTTTCAAGTTCTTTAGATCTTCAAAAGCGTTTCCATCGATGGTTTCTATGAAATTTTGTGCTATTGCAATTGTAAAAATATTTAATTGAATTATTAGTCAAGTATTTAGGAATGTTTTTCTTACAAAGGTCAAGAGTCTCCAACGATATCAATCCTTTCAGACATGTTCGTTCGATTTTTGATAACAAATTTGTACTCAAGTCCAGAATTTTTAAATTAACCAAGTCAATGAAAGCTTCATTTTGAGTATATTGGATGTCGTTAGCAGCTGTTGACAGAAATTTTTCTTTTTTTTGCTTTGAACATATTTTTGAAATCTCATGTCAAACTCACCCAGGACGAGAACTATCAACGATGTCAAATCATTAAAGAGTCCTTTTCGAATTTTAATTATCTCGTTGCCTTTTAAATCCAACTCTTCTAACTTTGTAAAGCCACGAAAATTGTTTTGATAGATATGTTTGACTTTAGAATAGCCAACTTTGTATTTTATTAAATCAGGAAAGATTAACGAAATATTATCAGGCAGTGTAAAGTAATTACTGTTGAAACCCCATGGCTCGTTAACTCTATGTGAGTCAATCTCAAAAGATTTGATTGAATGATTTTCGGGTTCTGCTGTTAATTGTTCCATTGCAATTTTTTTAGAATTTTCCATAAGACAATTTGAAACTTCTTCTTCATAATAACCGAGAGGTGAACTGTGATTAAATCGTTTAATTATTGCAGTTTTATTTTCATTTTTACAGAATATTTCTCCATCACAATTCACATTTGCAATAAGCACCGACAAAATTATGCTGATGAATGTTTTATTCCTAAACCGAATTAAATATTTAAGTTATTGAAAAGTTATATATTTAGAATAAAATATTTCTCACCACATTTTATTCAACCTTTCAGATTACGTTGTCGAATGAACACTGAGAAGCAGCAGAAAACTTAATTCTTTTAAGCGATTTGAGAGAATTTTAATCAAATGTTTATTAGCAAGGTTCATTGACAATCAGTTTTGATTTCTTGCTAATGAGCGATGACTTCGACGTCGTTTGTTTAGATTCAAATGCGTCCTAAAAACTTTGAATACCTAAATATGAAGATAACAAGGAGACGTAGAAGTTAGATTAGAATAACTCGTAGATAGCTAACTTTATTGAAAATATGTCTTCAAACGACCGACAGAGGTGTCGAAATAAATTTATTTAAGACATTCTATCTAAAAAGTGTTTAAATTAAGAATTATTAAGGAAAAACGTTTGCTGAACTGTACACCCTTTACGGAATTGCATATGTGCTTTGATTTCGCCAAACAATGTTGTAGAAACGTTGCATAAAAGAGAGGGAGAATTAGTAAGAGAGTGAACTTTCTCGCTACGTTTGTTGTATAGTTTAAATGACTGAAATTAATTTGTTTGGTTCTACTTTTGAACCGTGACTACTGCCATCTATTTTTCAAAATAGTAATCTGAGAAATCTTCTTTAAAAGTGTAACATCGAAGTGCTTAGATACATACGGAAGCACATTGACCTAACTGAATAATATCTGAAGTAAAAAATAATCCTATAACAATAAACCTTACTTAACTTCGAACACCTGGAATGAAAAAAAAATGTTTACGACATGAAAATGTCATGCCAATCATCGATATTAAATCAATAACAAAATGTTATTTATCATTCAATCTTTATTCAAATTTTTTTAAAAGTTAATGTTTTTTCTTCACATAAACAATAATTTGAGAGAACCCGCAATATGCTTGAGTTTATAAAAAGGTATGTATGAACAATATATGTACATTCGCTTGATAGCGTTGATAGTTATAAAAAACAAACATTCTTCTGAATACAAAGCCTTTGCTAAGGAAATTTTCTACTGTAATGAAAGTTTTAGTTTTTCCTTAACGGTCTCAAGTCACATTTCTCCATTTTTAACAAATCTACGTGAAAAACTTGATTCCATTGTGTTGTACAACAATGGGGCCGAGTTATATTTATACATATATAAAAAAAATACTTCTCCATTCACACATGAGAAGCGGGAGTTGAAAAATGAAAAGAACGACAAAGCGAGGGTTGGGTAGAGATGAGAAGAAAAGAAAAAGCATCATCCCACTTTAACATCCCATATACCAAGTCATGAGGGAATGCATGGACAATTTTTCACATTTTCTTCATGCTTTTCTCACACCAAATTTTCTTTTTGTGTGCAAACTCACATTAGATAAAGTCGCCTGATACTAAAGGAAAAGTGCTTGGAGCGATACGATGCCGTGCACTTGTCGACTAGAAGTCTCAAGACGGGACATATTTATTTTCTCTTATCATGCTAAGACGCATCTTTCCCTTCTTTCAAGAAGAAGTTACATGTATGGTGTATATAACATCACATAATGCTTTCTGTTCTGTATAATTTTCTGTCTTTGGCTTTACCATTTTCCGCTTTTTTTTTTCGTCGTCTTGCGGGCGGCGAGAAGTTTTTCTTTCTCCCTTCACAATGAGCTTTCCATTTCTTTATAACTTTTTTATATGTGAAACTCGCATGGCAAATGAAAGAAATGGGTTGGTGTGGAATGGGAAATGACTGATGGATAAGAGAAAGAAACAAAAAACTTTTCTCGAGAAAGATTCATCATCGCCTTTGCGTCCCTGTATAAGTAAGAAAAATCTCGGAAGATCTTCCGCTGTGCAATTCAACTGAAAATGAATGTCGGATGGAAAGAAGAAAAAAGTTGGAATAAAAATTTCAAGAAGATAAAAAAGAATGAACACACATGAAATGGTAATAACAGTTAAGGATGAGGCTGGAGTGTGGGAGCGAAAACTCTACACATATGAACTCCGAGCTGCTGCAGCCATTAAAAGATATCTCTCAGAGGAAAAACATTTCCTTTCATTCCATGTGAATATGAATAATTTTTTGCTCATAAAAATGCTTCGCCTTTTGCTGGAGGCTGCGAATTCATTTTGGATTATTTATTGTTTTTCTTTTGCAACTCTCTTTTTTTTTTTCGTATATCATTCAACTTAATAAAATTTTTTATTGCGATTTTTCATGAAGGTGAAAATCTTCCCAAGAAAAAGTTTCGCCAATTATTTGTGAATTTCTTCAAAATAAAATTAGAGAAGTGAAGGAAACACATGGGCGCTCGCTAAGTACTTGCAAGTGATATTTCTTAGGAAAGTTTTAGACGTAAATTGAATCTTGAAATCGTAAATATTAATAATCATTTATGTTTACATTTTATTTACTTTTGTTTATTTAAATTGGGACATGAATATCTGGATTATGTTTATTTGAATAAATGTTTGGCAAGCAGAAACTGAATCAAATAATAATTTAATTTATAGTGAATTTGAGTTTAAAGTTTAAACTTAATGTTTAATATTAAACCTTTCAAAATGTGCTTATCTATTTGTCGAATCAATGTATGCAAGCGTTAGAATGTTTATAGAAAGTTTTTAAGGCTCGAAATACCAATTATTGTATCAAATATTTACTCAATAAATTTGTCGAAAATCGTTCAATGTATTTTTACGACGATAGTAAATTTAATGATTGAGGAAATTTTTAATATCTACTTCTCTGTTGTTATTTTCAACACTTTCTATCTATGAAAATGAATGTAGAAATAAAATTAAATCAATCATTTGAAAAGAGTGCAGATCTCGCATAGACGGCAATGAGTTAGTTTTCCCACAACCACATTGATAAATTAAATCACATTTCAACGCACATGTAGAGAGTCATTTGATTATTTTAAAGTTCCATGGGGAAGCAAAATATTCCAATTCTTGATATTGTTCTATCTACATTTAGAATTCTTTATTAAATTTATCTTTAATTAAAGATTTAGTGAGTAAGAGTTATGAAGACATTTTTGAATAATAAATAAAAAATGAATTTGAGTAATTAAAAATTAAATTAAACATTTTTTTGGCTACCTCTTAACATGTGTTCGTAACGTAACCACGGAAACACTTCCACTGCAATGAATTTTAAAAGTTCAGTTCTGAAGAAGAAAGTTAATTATTCTTTTTTTACGTCTTTACGTTTCCATTCTTGTTGAAACGATCGATATGTGTGCGCTTGTGGGTGCGTGGGTGGTTGGTTGATAAATATTTTCCCTCTTTTTGGCTTCTCGACACAGGAAGAAAAAAATGCTGATTCAACATGTATCCATATCAGAGAAACCCACAGTTTCTCACTTTTTTTCTTCCTCTCTTCTTGGTTTTTCATGTACAACACATTCGAGCTCGTTCAATCGAAATAGGAATTCTTGAGGGGAACATTTAAGATAAAAAAGATTTTTAAAGTTGAACATAATGAAATGAAGCGAGTAGAAAAAGAAAATGCTATGCAATAAAAATACTTTGAGGATGTGAAAAAGGGTTTTAAGAGCGTCGAGATTTCAGCAGAATTCGTAACATGACGACATTCAGCAGATTTTAAATTGAATAAATTAAATGCCTTTCATAGTTTCCATCTTACTCATTTTTTAATTTTCTGCAATAAACAATTTAGAGAAAGCAATTATTTAGCAACACGAATGACATTAATAGTCCAAGTCGATTAAAATCTTCTTTTTCTCATTCCGTTCAACTTTATATTTTATGCCATTTCAGGGCATCTTTTCCAACAGAGGTTGAAGCATAAATTTTAAAAAATTGTTTACACAAGAACGAATCACCATCGAGAAAAAGTAAAAAGCAACTCGCTAAGGAGCAGTCGTAGCTGAAAGGGTTGAAAAATGTAGCAAGAGAAATAAGTAGAAAAAAAGGCAAAAAGGAGAAAATTATAAAACGATGATAATGAAAAATTACAAGAAAATCGAGCCTGGAGATGGGGACGAGAAGAAAATAAATTGAAAAAGGGTAAGAAAAGGCGAATGGGTGGAGATGGAAATGGAGATTTCACCCAAAAACTGCCCTCCCATACTTTCAAACTTTTGTTTTGAAATATTTTTTATCCATTCTCGCTACTGCTCAATCCCACTCCCAACCGTCGAATCGTTCGCCATCAAATTTTATACAAACACCCTCCCAAAAACCTTCACCCACCATCTTCCATCAACCCTCGCACATTTTGCTTGCCTGCCATTAATTTCTTTCGTTTCTTTCTCGCTTTTTTTCACTGCCCGTCCCTTTTTCCTTCTTCTTTTTTTACTTTGCTGTATTTTGTCAGTTCTTTCTTTTTTTCCGTTGTATTTTTCACCCACCATCGTTTCTATACTTTTTTCATGGAGAAGCCATTAGCAGTGAATGCTTAGAGGGAAAGAAAATAAATGAGTAGGAAAACGAATCCAAGTGGCAGTAATTCGAAGAAAAATTGATGAAATTTTTTTCTTCGTTCTTTATTTTATAAAACGTAAAATTTTGAAGAAATATTAGAGCTTCTTGGTAAAAAGATTTTCATTTATATTTGAAGATTTCATTGAGATAATCATTTTGGAAGATTATTTTATATGCAGGGATATTTTATTGTCAAATGAATTTTATTATTGATGGATTGATGAGAATTTAATCTTAAAGTTGAGAATCTTTAAGCTAAAATGTTATTTTAATTATTTGATGGAAATTTGTGTGGTAAACTCTAACGAACCACACCATTTAACATAAAGTCATTGTTATTAAAGCAAAATAAATCATACTTTAATATAAAATTGCATCAGAATGAATTATTTAACCGCAATTTAAAATCAATTTTTTACACGAGTTTCTTCTTGAGAATTAATTAAAATTTCCAACTAAATGATTCTGATACAAAATCATTAACGTCCATATTTTATGTCATAAATGAAAAATCGTCGTTATACGAAGAGAGGAAGTAACCGTAGGAAATGGGGCTCGGAAGCAAGAAAATGTAGAAGAAAAAGCTCAATTTTCATCATTTCCAACTCAGCAAAAAAAAAGAAATAAAAAGAAAATTCATCTCAACTGCTTAGCACGATAGCAAAGAAAAAAAATTAATTTAATTTTTCATATTTCTTCTTTTTTTTCTTATATTTCCATTTTTCTCCGCTTTTTACTTTAGCTTGCTAACGGGTTTGTGGGTGTTGAATCTCATTTGTCCAAATGTGGTGTGAGTTGGGGAAGGCACATCATCAGCAGCCGTAAGAAACAATTCGCTCGAAGAAAATGAAGAAAAAAAATGAAGAAATTTTCTCTCGTTTTGCTCGATGCTGTAAATTAATGGTTGTATTATTATTATTTTTTTATACATTTTCTCTTCGAGTTCTTTGGAAATGAAAGGGTTTGAGAACGGGTTGCTAAAGGGCAAAGAAAAAAAATTAAGACGAAAGTAAGACAAGAAGGGAAAAGTTGTCATTTATAAAGTTTGTAACCAATGTGATTGATTGGTCATAATCTCGTGAATATTTAAAATTGACTTTATTTATTCAAGATTTACAATTAAAGTCAACTTAAGCTGTGAAGTGTAAATGCTCTTAAAGCATTAATTCAGCTGCCTCATGTTTTCCTAACATAATACGGAGCATAAAAATTTATGCAAACCATGTAACAATTTTCTAAATTAAACAACTTGAAACAACAAAAATATTTTCATTCAAAAAATTAAGAAAAGGAGAAGCTGACTGTGACTTCACATTAAAATGATCCCACAGAGAACGGGAAAATTTTTTGCAAAAGAAAAATTATGCGAAATACTTCGTCCCATCACCACCCACAAAAGCGAAAAAAGGAAAAGAAAAAAAACATTAAAATCACCCTCATTGAAATTCTTATTCGTTCTTTTTTCACTATGAAAAATTATAAAAATTAAGAAACCCTCGCGCGTTTTCGCGTGAAACATGAAACGATGAAACCCTTCGCTTTTGCTTGGAATGGAAATTACAAAAAAGAGATGAAAATTCAGAAAAACTTTTTGTATTATAAAAAATAATGAAAGAAAAAAAATAAAATGATGAAGAAGGAAAACAAGAAGCATTGAAGAGGGTATTTCAGATATTTTCTTCATTATGTCAGAAATTTTCTTCTATTTTTTCACCGTGAAAATCGTTTGATAGCTTGGTTCGTTCCGGGAAACCCTCGCGCATTTTCCATTAAATCCTCGCACCCTTTATTTGTTTGATTGATTTTTCTTTTTCTTTGTTTAGTTATAGAAAAAGAAAAAGCCGAGAATAGAAAATTCTTTTCGAACAAGGGAAAAAATTCGTCCGTGATGGTAAAAATTAAAATAAAAAATTTCTTTTCAATTCCCCACACCATTCACTGATTTTCCACCAACATCAAACATTGAAATTGATGGGACGAAGCAGCAAAGTGCGGGTGAATCATCGCAATATGGTTTCTATCGGTTGAAGACATTTTATTTTTAGCAGCAGCACTTGGAAAACTTTTTCCTTTCTAAGTTTCAAGTTTTATTCACTTTTTTGTTGCCACAGAAAAAAAAACTTTTTATTTCAATAACTTTCTTTTTTAATGATAGAGTTTGCACAAAGCTTTCATCAAGTTATTGCTTTTAGAGACACTAACAGTTTGAAGTCATTAATATCAATTTTATTTGATAATTTATAACAGAAACAAATTTTTTTCTAAGAAGAAACTTCGTCTTGTTTGGAAACTAGTCATGTTGTGAAATTCTATCGATTTGTTTGATATTTAATCCTTTAAAAAGTTAAAGCATAACTTTAAAACTTCATTTTTGGTATTTATTATCATGTTACAAAATCCTTGACTTCTTTTCGAAGAATAAACTTTCACTTTTCTCGACAACTTACATTCTATAATTATCTTGAAACTTTCTTCTTAACTTTAACATTGTAAACGTCAACTTTAATTCTTCTGTTTACTTCTAAAATCAAAACGGAACTAACTTCCACGATTATCCAGAAAGAATTGAAAATAATCAGAGTCATCATCAATGCTGCTGAAGCATATGGTGATCTAACGGGTTTCCTAAAGACAATTTTCATAGCACAAACTGTTTGTATTGTATAATGTTGCACACATGAATATTCTGAATGAACTTAAACGTATTTCAAACAATTTAGTCTCAACATCATCGACCAACGGACAATTACATTTGCATATTCGGGAATCTAATAGATGAATACAATATAAAAGGAAGAAGAAAGGGTTGAAACTGGTTTTACGTCTTATAAGTGACCGTGTTGTCCCCGTCAGGAAATCAGATACACAAAAATCCCGTTTACCGTTGGAAGGGCTTTCAATGCGGAACAAACAAACAAATTTCATTGAAGGACAAATATTGAAACCGGTTTTCTCACGGTTACCCAATGGTCCTTTTACCTGAGAAAGAATTAATCGACAATTGTCTTCCTTTTCTTCAACGTCAGAAGGAAAAAGGGTTGCATCATCGACCATTAGTATCAACCGGTTTGACCAGATTTACATAAGGCTACCGTCTTTTGCGGAACTGGACCCACGTGCTTTATACTCGGGTTTTTGCAAAAACGTCATTTGAACCGAATAAAAAGCACTGTTTGTGAAAACGACGGAAATTAAAGCACCCCCCGAAAATAAAGCACTACTTTGTAATTTCCCGTTACAGAACGATAGAAAAATAAACAAGAATGAAAGTTAATAAAAGAGACACCAGAAATGCCTTCAACCTTTCTGTAATGAAACGCTCGTTTTCGCTTTTTTCACTGATTTGTTTTGTTTTGGGGGTTTTGTGTTGAGTGTTTGCAAAACGACGGAAATTAAAGCACCCCACGAAAATAAAGCACATGTGCTTTATATTTTTAATATAAAGCACGTGGGTCCAGTTCCGCAAAAGACGGTAGGGATGCACAGAGGGTTGATGAATGCTTTGAAAAAATGAGAAACCAGTTTAAAGGATCATTAACATCCAATCGGACAAAGTTGGACGCCAAATTCATGACAAAATAAATTCATCTAATTTAGAAACTTTGTAATCACAACCTGCTGTTGGATAATTCATCAGATTTCATTTTATCACGACTTGATACTGATAGTCGCTGAAAAATTAATTTAGATTTTAAAATTTTAATTTCTTTCGTTAATAAATTTAAGTGAAAACAATGAAAAGTAAAATAATGAGAAAGAAAATCATTCGCTTCGTTCGCCAAACGAAGAGACATTTTGTCCTCGTCGTATCTAATTGAAAAAAATTACTTTTATTACCAACCCTCGCGAGGCCATTAAATTTTTCCACCCTTTAACCCAACACCACCCACACCCAATACGCACAATCTAAAATTTTCTCTCACTTACACTATTGAAAGTTTATTTTACTTTTTTTGTTTCTTCTTTGAAGAGAAATGTCGAATGATTTTCATCACGGTCAGTTGCTAGGGCCGTCGTTTTGTGCAAACTTCTTATTTAGATTGATTTTCCTTGAAACTTGTTAAACACTTAAAGAAAAGCTTTCAGTATAATGTTTTGTTAAAAATATCATTTTATGTTGAAATCGTTTCAAAAGCCTTCACCCGTTAGCGTTTTTCTTTAAAAGCATCTTGATACCATCTCAACATTTACATTTTAAATTTTCTCGACGTATTTTTTCCTTCTTTTGCTTTCTTTTTTGTTCATTCGCTGTTTTTCCTTTGCCTTTTTAATGAAGTCAGGACCGGGGAAAAAAGAATAGAGAGATGAAAATTTTTTATGAAAAGGCTTAGCAGTAAGAATGGAAATTGATGACCCTTTTTCAGATGGATTCATTACTCGTCTTAAATGCAAATTTTATTGCTGAGAAAAGGGAAACTCGAGTTTTCATTTGGTGCAGGAAAAGAGGATTTTCAAATTCGATTTCATAAGATTTTCCGTTGATTTTGATTATCTTTTCCGTTATTTCACCATCATCAGTCCCATGCCACTACCGTCCCCCATTTGAAACAGCCCCATGATAATTTCTATCTCTGTTGTCTCATTATCATTTAAGACATAAAAAAAGTATCGAGAAAACTCTGAAAAATAAGACGAGAAAAAAGAAAATGAAACGAGTGGAAGATAATTTTCATTTCCACTGACAATCAACAGAAAAGCAACAGAAGAAAGTTGAGAATTTTCGTACGCTGCCCTCAAACAAGCTTTCGAATTCAATTTTAATTCGACAATATTCTGTCTCAAAGATAGATGAATGAAGTATGGATATTTCTTATTTAAGTTGGATTGAGACGGAGGCACGCAAAGCAAGATAATAAAAGAAATTTTTTATCCGTCTCAACAATATATCTACGATGCTGACGCTGTTCGCTAAGGAATAACCGTAAGGCTAGAAAAACCATTGGGAAAGGTTGCAATGATGTAAATTTAGGACAAAAGAAAATAAATTTCTTTACGATTATCTCTCTCAACATTTTTGTTAGTTGTAGCTCGATAAATGTTTCCTGTAATCACGTCACTTTCAAACAATTCCCTCAAAGAAAAAGCGCCAATTTTTCTTACTTATTGCTGTTTCTTCTCTTTTTTTTCCTTCACCCCATTTCTTTCGAAATGAGAAATTTTCCAGAAAGCGGAAATAAATTTTGAAGATTCAGCACTGAAAGAGAAAAACGCGGCAGTAAAAAATGACAAATAAAATCGCGAGGGTTGAAAAATGAAAAAGAAATAAACAAAAAAGAAAGAAAAAAACAAGAGGAAAATATAAAATGGCAAGTGGAAGTCTTCGGGGACAATAAATTATCGGCGTAGAAGAAATTATATGGAAATTATTTTGCTGCTCTGTTTCTCTTCAGCCACGTCTCGTTGCTTTTCGCTGTTTTTCTTCATCTTATGTCCTCTCGTGGCAATGTCGATTTTCAAGCTTCCCTCTTATTTTTCAATTCGACGAGCACAATTGTAATTATTTCTTAATGTTCATAAAAAAATGCCTCGTTAGTTTGATTCTAGTGTTTCTCAAAATCACTATTTTTAGGGAATAGGGAAAAAGAAATCGTCAAATTTCTACTAGAAATCGCTTAATTTTTCCTATAAAGATGGATTGTTTAGTGTTTTCTATGTCAGAACATTACGTTAATGCAGTTTTTTCTTTTAAAAAAAGTCGATATCTAGTAGAAAATCATCGATCCCTGATCCCTGTTTTAAAAAAAACAGGGATTTTGAGAAACACTATTTGATTCTCATCAATTTACATAATTTAAATTTTTCTTACAAGCAAAAGAGTTTTGTGCCCTATGCTCGCTTATAAAAACAAATTTTCTTCTTTTCAAAACTTATTCAATCTTGATGCAACGGAAAAGAAATCTCATTAATGATTCACGAAAATGGCGATTTGATTACATTTTAAGCAATGAACTACAAAGAAAAGAAAATGTAGCGGCTGTGAAAGGAAACGATGACTGAGTAAATTGTGAGAAAATCAACTTTTTTTGAATAAAATTAAATTCAGATGAAAATCAGATTCCCATTCTCGTTCTGGCAGATATTTGAGTTTATTTTTAACGTTTTCAATGAATCGAGTAAGAACAGACATTGTAATGTTAATAGTTTAACAACTTTTTAATTCTCGTAAATACTTAAATGTGAGTATTTGAAAAAACTTGAACATTCAAAAAGATTTGCTTTACGATCATCATTGGAAATGGCAAGGGAAATGGAATTCAATTTCTAACACATTCTCACATATCTTACAATTGAATTTCACAGGTAACAATTTTTTTCATGTGACACCCTGAAATGCGATTCACACGATGGCGGTTAAGAATTGCCCATTTTTTGTAATCTTATTAGAATCTACTCGTATTAAAGAATCATTTGTGAGTGAGCAAACGAATCAAATGGTAGGAATGGAAATCTTACTTAATTTCTTTTGAATATTGGAATAAACAGAAAATATGATCATCAAAGCATACAAATTATATATCCATGAAGATGAAAATTCGTTAGTTTGGTCTTAAATCATTTTATTGTATCTTTGATAATAAAATTTGTCGTCCTATGGTGAATTTATGTTGAAATTGCTATTGACTACTCAAATTAGACGATAATTCAGGACACATTACTATTACTAGCGCCACCTTGTGACGGAAAGTGTTACTAAAGGACATATCCTGGTTCGAAGGCACAACTGAGCATCAAATTATTCAATGAAATCTGTTTCAAGTTTACTGTTTATGCAGAAGTTTCTGTATCCCCTCCATTTCATTTTTAAAAGAAACCCTAACTTAATATTTGTTTTCTTAAGGAAAAAGTCCCGACGATGATTTTTTTAAGAAGGAAACGAACAATTTTTTCATCTAGGAGAAGGAAGATGTGAAGTTTCAATTCAATCTAATCAAAAAAGCATGATGTTACGAAGAGAAGAATGAATTCATCTTTACATTCTGAATACTCTGCTCTCTTCTTGCTTTCATTCGCTGTTAAAAGACTTTTTCTTACACAACGCTGCGAAAAAAGTCTAAGGAAATGAGAAGCGAAGAAAAAGTTTATACCACGCCCTTCAGCGCCTTTTTTCTAGCGAAAAGGAAACGCCTTACGATTTTTCTGCTTGAAGATTCCTTTAAATTTTTCATAATATTAATCAAAATAATGTGGAAAAACCGCGAATTTCGTTGTCAACATACTTCAAAGTATCATTTGGTTGATTGATAACTTAAAATGCTAAAACTGAGATTAAAATTGCAAGAAGGAAGTAAAATTAAACGGAATAAGAAATGTCATTAAAATGTATGTAATTTTCTGACGACTAAAGGAACATGCAAGCTTGCAATCATTTTAAGCTTCTTTCTATTTTAGGCTTTATGAATCTCATAAAGGAATAAATTAAGATTTGCTTTATTTCAATGACCTGTGAAATCTTTTGATGTATTATTACTAAATCACAAATAACTCATTGATAATTAATAAACATAAATATTTGAATTTTAAGCATTTTCTTGGAATTTAGTGGCACAGCGAAGGCATTTATGTTAAGAAACATCTATAAAGATGAATAGACTACAACCTTTAATCATCAAGAACCATCAAACGTTTCAATTCAATTTATGAACATTGATTTTGATTTTATGTAGATGAGATATTCAAGTTATGCTCGATTTCATGGTTCAAAAGAAAATTCTATAATTTCAAATTTCATCATTAGTAATTATTTTTGAAAAGTCAAAAATATTTCTTAGAAGCTTCGTTTAACCAAAACGTATTTCGATAGCATTTTTAATCCATAATTCATATAAATTTATAAGATAAATTCATTGGTTTTTACATAGTTAACAGTTTTCAATTTCGAGCTCATCAAAAATCCCCGGGATTCTTACAATTATCTTCCTTTACCATTTTCTTCCAAGATACAAGTTTTTCATCGCGAACGTTTCCTTAAAAACCAACAAAATCTGCGAAAGCGTTGCCGCCATCAACATTAAAATGTAAATGAAGACGGTTGTGTTGGCAACTTCCCAGATATTCACAATCATTACTGAAAAATCTAAGAATTTATTTTCAGTTTAAGCTGTTCAAGCATCTCTGGGTTGAATTAAAATATCTCATTCCAAAATGTAACCCCAACGGAAAACTCCCTCGCATTTTCTCGAAGAAAAGATTATTTCTTTCATTTCTGAAAATTTGAATAACTTTTTTTTTGTTATTATTTTGCTGCTGCCAACGGAAACTTTTCATGGAACCCCAAAAATATAAGCTTGAATATGCAAGAGCATGAGACAAGTTATTTGTTACTTATGAAGGAAAAACAGAATTTACAGATAATGAGAAAAGAAGACTGAAACTGGCGGTAGTGAGGGAAAAAGTTTCATAACAATCCCGTCTCAAATGTTTCCTTCACTTTTACAATTTAACTCTCGAGACCCTTTTGGGAAAGGAAATTTTCTCCATTGTCGAGAGGGGGGAAAAAGAAGCGCAAACAGTAAACAGACTCGTTTCTCGAGTTTTAATGTAGAAAAATTTAATAATTTATAAACCGAACGCCTTGTGGAATTCTACGGATGGATAAGCAAGCAGTCTTCATTTTTCATTATTCTGCCGAGATTTTTATCTTATTTGTAAGAAATTTATTGCTTTGAAGATCCAAATGGGGGTTTAAGTCAATTTATAAAATAGAGAATCATCTCATTTTCTTTTTAAATTCATTTCTTCGTTGACTTTATGCTTACATTAAATAAATATCATCAAAGCATCACCCATGATGGAATGAGCAGCGAAGGAAACTTTTCTGACTTGCGCGATATTCAAGACATTTTTCTTATCTTCATTTTTCAGTTAAGATGAACATGAGCGTGGGTGGAGAGGTGAAATATTTTCCATTTTGTAGAAATCTTAGAAGAAAAAGTGGTGGAATGAGAATTTTTAGACATTAAAGTTGATGACTGAGGGGTTTGAGGAAAGATAACAACAAACGATTTTACTTATTCCAATTATGTAGGTGAGTTCTGAAAAAGAAACTTTCTTCATCCTCCTCCCACGCTTTGATAAAAATTAATATTGTTTTAATGATGATTGATATTCTATTTCATGGCCCAATTTCCCTCAAAAGCTTTCACTGAAAACTTATTTAGAATGTAACACGATAAAATACGTAGAAAGGTAAGATGAAGGAAAAGTTTTATGGATTGAAACTTAATGCGAAATCTTAGTTAATCTGCCGTAACATATTAAATAATATGATAAAATTTAATTACGGAAAATGTCTAATGAATTATGAAAATAGCTAATGGAAGAGAAAGAGAATATGAAATTGAACAGCATTAACTTCACCCACCATCTTAGACGCCATGATGTTTTTTTCCACCCCACCCGCTTTTCCCTTCCACCCTTCAACTTTTATCAGCGATGCGGGATTACAACAAAATGGGTCGAAAGGATTTCATTGCGTTTGGATAAAGAAAATGTGTCGATGAAGCAAATCTGTAAATCTGTCAATTTATTTCTCTTTCCCCTTTCTTGTCTCAATCCATGAATTCATGCCGATGTCACCCATCACAATCACACACGCGCCTGATCTGATTAAATTGAAAATACTTACGGGTGAAACAGAGAAAACTTCTAAAGTTTGTATCAAGAAATTCTGCTTTCTTTCAACCCACTTCCTTCTGCGCATTTTGTCAAAGAAACTTTACGGCTTTTAAACTCTCAAAGACATTCATTACTTTAGCGATAAGGTTTCTGGTTGCGGAGGGCTTTTAGAGATGAAGACGGAGAAAACGTTTTTGAGGATGAAATGATGTTAAATTAAGAAGATGGAAAATGTGTGTAATGGTTGAAGATAAAGGGAAGGATTTCTAATTAAATTTGATGGCTTGTCATGAAACGAATTTTCATAATTTTTCTTTTGTCTTGACTTTTGTAAGATTTTCTTCATGAAATTTCAAATGTTCTTGGTAAATAGAATTAATTTGATGTAACTTTTCCTTCGTTTTTTTTCACAATTAACTTGAATTGTAATTGAAATTGATGTTGACATGTTAAAAGTTCAACAAATTATGCAAGTAGAATGTTTTTGATAAGCGCCAACGTTATTTAAACGCATTCAATGACAATCTTTAATAAATTATTGAAAATTATAAAAACTTTAATTATTCAATAATTAAATTAAGTATACAAGCTTTTTATGAGAAAATTAAAGTAAAGTCACTTTGAACTGTTAACATCCGGTTGTATTCATAAACATATTTCACATCCTTGTTGCTCTAATTAAGATTCTCTTTACTGTTGACGATGAAAACTGTTGATGAAATTTTTGTAGTTCAACAGAATTGCATTAAATTTCCTCTAAAAATCGGAAATTTCCATCAACATCAGCGAACGGAAACTCAACAGCACTCAATGAATATTCAACGCAAATTTTAACTTTCAAACTTTAATAAAATGACGACCAATTCTCGTGAATGCTTCTAACTTAAATTACGATAGAAACAAGACTAAGCAACTTTCAACATATTTTTAATAAATATTTTTCGATGAAATTCTTTTTCCCACGCGACAACTTCTTGTATCAGGACTCTTGACGATTGTTTACATGAATGTTCTGGTCCCAAACAAGAATTGCAAACCTTAAAGTTGCTTGTTCTTGTCTGCTTATTGGGACACTCAAAAAATAACATAAAATTTTGGTAAACACGTTTTCGAGAAATTTTGCTTGTCCTACTAATCCAGTTTTCTCCTTCGGATCGTCCATGGGAATGTCTTCAAACCCTTCTTACTTATCAATCGACCATTGTGAAAAAAGAGGGTGAATCGCTGGGAGATGGGCAAGTGTCAAGCAGGTCACTTTTAGGGTGCGAAAACATTCAAAGAAAAACTGACAATCTTTAAGTTAATTTCTTGTTGAACAGGTTCGATTAGACCAAAAAGTTGTCGGATATCTGTGTGCAATCTCAGCTTTTATTATTTCTAATGAGAAATTAGTAATTTTAACATTCCCATGAAAAATGTTGATTCGATTTCATCGTCATAAAAATTTAGTCTTCGGATATCTATTTAGATCAATTTAATTATTCTTATTTATTGTCACATTTCTGAGTAAATCTTGAAAACAAATCACAGTGAATTATCATTTCTTAAAGTTTTCTTGGTTTCAACTTTAATTATTTCAAACCCTCTTGACCATTCTCGAGTATCATTCTTTAAAGAAATTCAAACTTTTTAACACGATGAAGCAACATTTTCTTCAAAGTTGTGTTTAAGATGAAAAAGGCTACAATTTGTCTAATAAGGTTCATTTGAAATGTGCGATAAAAGATTAAAGATTAATACAAATAATTTTCATAGAAGGAAAGGCTTTTGTGTCGGGAAAACTAATCAGCACAATAAGAAATAGTTGAGAGACAATTTGAAGATTAACAATTCCCAAGATTGCTGAATTTCCTATCAAAGTGATTGTTATGTGATTGAAATAACAAAAATCTTTAACAGTGCAGAGGTGAAAGAAATGTGAAAATCGCGAGAAAATATTTGTTCATGTGAATAAACATTCATTGAGCCAATGAGAAGCATTAAAAAAGTCTTATTGGCTGAAAAACAGCAGAAACTATAATAATGTAAAAAGGGTTGCTAAGACATTCTTCCTGCTGATGCTTTTCTATGATATTACAAGCAGACGGTAAAAAAGGGATGACGAGGAACAATTCATAAGTGCAGTAGCATGAAAGTTCAACAAATCTACTTCACTATCACTTAATCATTCGTACTCTGGGATTTAATCTTAAAAGATAACAAAAAATCTGGAATTCTTCTCATCTCAACGACATTGCAAGCTTTTATTTACTTACGTTTAGCTCTACAATAGAACAAAAAATCTCTTCATGTTCAAATAATCCCCAAAGAAAAACTTTTTTAATTAAAAAAAATCAATTTGAGCGAAAGGAAGAAAAGGAAGGTTGGCACATCACGTCTAGTTTCTTCGCATTTTCTGTACGTTAGAGAGAGAAATTCTTTACGTAATTAACCTTTTCTGGTATCTATCTTCATCATTTCCCCCGAGGGAGAAAAAGAAAATCGTATCTTTCATAGCAGCAGCTTCATCACAAAAACCTCTGCCGGAAAACATTGAATTTGAAATTTAAATTAAAAGGCTTTTCAAATAGCGGGGTTTTTGCAAGAGAAATTTTCTTTTCGAAGGAAAAATAGTTAAAAAGTTGGAGTAAGTTTGATTATTTTCAAAATGGCTATAGAAAATTTCAAAATTAAATGATCTCCATCTTTTACATTAAATAACAATATCAAACGTCATTGACTACAGTTATTTAACTTAATTGAAATTGCTAATTACTTTAGAGAAATGACGAAAGTTGACGTAATTTTTGCTTCTAAAGATTAATTTCTAAGATTTCCTTTCCAAACTCTAAACATCATTGTCAATAATGCAATTAATATCGCATTCCTTAAAGGAAATCTAATTAGAATCTGAAAAATAAGAGAAAATAAAATTGTTTTCATCATGAATTCAAATGAAGGATATTTGGAAGATTGTGTCGCCATCTATGGAGGGGAAGAATGAGACATTTTGTGTCTTTGATAAATCATAGTTGAAGAACTATAACATATTTCCCCTTCAGTTCATCCCTTCCATTTAATATTCTCAAGATTTTATTATTTTTTTCAGTCTCAGTTCTTCCTAAATTTTCATTCATTTTTATTTCTTTCTCTTAAAAGGAAAGATTTTTATAGCGAACATTTTTTTTTATTTGAGAAGTTTTAAATATGTGTGGTGGTGAAGAAAAATTTCGTCTCCATCAACAACAGTTGAGAAATTCGTTTTTCTTTTTATATATTTTTGGGTAAAATTTTCTATTACGTCAAGCGTCAAGGAGTTGTCATAGCATTTTCTCGTTGTTTGATAGTGTAAAGTGAGATAATTTTATATCATCTCACAGCTTAAAATTTAAAATAAACTCATCGAAATATGAAGACAAAAAACTTCCAAGGATTTTTGTTTAATTTTGAATTTTATATGGAGGCGTCAAGAAAATTCTCGCAATGAAATGGAAACGCGACACAGAAAAATAAACGAAGTGTTTGCCGACGCTGTTCATGGGTGTGGCTCTATTTTTTATAAAACATTTTGTCCAGTTTTTAATTAAAACATGTTGAAATTTATTTAAATATCCAAATTGATATCATGTTTGCTGAAAAAATATCGAAATTAAGAAATCGTCAAACTCGTATTTTTTAGAGAAATTATCGAATGCAATAAGTTTCTCCAAAAATTTAGTATTCATAAACTTGCTATCATCAATTAAATTCGAATTGATTATCTTTTAGAATGGGATTTTCAAGGGAAAAACAACAACATGATAGAATGTTGAAAGGAAATTGAAAGTTTCACGCGATAAACAAATATCGTTGCAATGACGTTGATAAACATTTTTCGTATCGTTTATATTTTAAGTGCATTTCCAGAATGATGAACAACTTAAAAGTTTGTCAGATATGTGTTTACCAACTCAGACAGAATATCTAGAAATGGTCCAAAGCTTGTTTAGAAAGAAATCAATAACGAAATGACATAGAAATGTATACAGGTTTGGGAAGTTCCATTTTAAAGCCGATTTTCATTATCGTCTTTCCAACGTACGTAGACAGTCTTTAAAATAACATCAATGTTATGCTTTGTTAAAAAACCATAAATAACATATGACAATATCTCATATCTAATTAATTGAAATCTTTTCTTTTACCTCGACTTAGACTGACTTAAGTAGTTCTGAAAAGACGAAAACATTCAAAATTTAAAACAAGAAATTTTCTGTTCTATTCAATGAAATCTTCGATTCCATTTCTGCAAATATTTCTCTTCTGAAACACAACTATAAACGACGCTTAGATATTTCGTTTTATTCCCCAGTCGTCCCACTAAAAAAACTTGAAGTATGAGAAAGAAGAAAGAAAAATGAGAAAATTTTCCTCGAAGTATAAAAGGAAAAAGATTCAAATTACCATTTAAAATGAGAACAGTCGCTTCAGAGGATTTACTTCGAACGAACAAAACACTGAAAGAAATTTATTCATTTTCATGTTTCTTTACACAAATCTTATTTATTCAAGAAATATTTTCTACATAAGAACTTCGAAAAAAAAATTTCTCTCCGTGATGATTTCTTTTGTTTAAAAATTAAAATATAAAGCAGCCTCGCTTCTCCACCCACTTGGCAATTTTTCATTTTCACCCTCTAACTGGGACGCTTCTTTCCTTCTCCACTTTTCTTCGAAACCTTTTTTCTCTTCTTTATATTCTTATGTACTCTTCTGAATGTTTTTTCCCAGTCCCGTGTTAGAATTTTCCATTTTCCCTTCATCTTTTTTTCCGCTTCACATCCCAACCAAAGGCAGGGATAAAATTTTCCTCCGTTATTTTTTAATTAAAATTAAATATTAAAATAAGAAAAATTTTCTTATCGTTCAGAAAAGATGTGAAATAAAATGTGCAGAGAGAACGGATAAAGTTTTTACAAGCAGGCAGGCTCGTAAGCGGTGAAAATTATAACGTCGTAAATTTTCCTTTAAGCACATAAAAACTTACATATATACGAGCTTAACTCACATCAGGCACGCGACACATGTGAAGAAAACACAAAAAAAAATGCTTCATGAAGCTTGGAAAATTTACGAAGTGGAAAAAAATTGAATCTTTGAAATATGCGTGAGCACATCACAGAGTTGAAAGAAATTTGAAGATGAAAATAAACGAGGAAACTCGGGAGGGTGAGGGCGTTGTAAAAAGAAGGAAAAATATTTTTCGTGCGCGTGGTAATGTCGAATAGAAAAACAGCAAAAATATGATGTCGCCAAAATGGCAGCTTTGAATTTGTAAGAAATTTCAACGAAATTCTTTAGACTAACATTAACCCCTTACTGACTTTATGTTGACCATCTGTTGCTACTTTAAGGTCATTCAAATCTTAAGGAAAAGGGCAACATAACTGACCGTTTGTTTTTATTTTTTTCCCATCAAACAGGTTTTTCGTTCTTCTATGTTGACCACTGGTCATAAACAGTCTACATTGCAGCATATTTTCTTACGGGACAAGAGATTGTCCTAAATGGGAATTAACTGGTTTAGTTTTGTTTATTATTCCTTTGTTGTTTCTTGAGAATATTTTCTACAAATTATGAGAAAACGAGTTTGCTTTTAACGAACTATTGTTGAATTCAATCATCTTGATTTGAGTATTGACACATTAAAAATATTTCCATTCGCATTTCTAACGATTTAATTGGAAGTAAATCTTATTAAAATTCTTTAATTTAATATTTACCTTTTCATCAGTTAAGTAAACATATCAGAATATATTTTCAACGATATCAAAGTCCCAAACATAAAATATTCGTTCAAAACTTTCCCGTTTTCATGTGAAATATTTACTTAATTTATAAAAAAATAAATCCGAGTAAAAAATTTCGTTTTCGTCGAAGCGAAAACATTTTTTAATGGAGAAAATATTTTCCATGAATGTTTCCTTATTATAAAAGATTATAATTTATTAAAAGGCACACACAAGCATTAAAACATAATTTTTGTCGAGCATATATGTACAATATCTCAAACTTCCTTCTCATACTGTCGTTTCTTTCTCGTAAACGCCACTCCCGCCTACACATAAAACCCTCGACATTATAAAATTTCATTACGACAAAAAAGTGTAGAAGAGAAAGCGAACATTGGAGGTAGAGAAGCGTTCATGTGTGACTCAAGCTGCTTTTTCTAGAAAACCTCCACCACTGAGAAAAAAACGAAGAAGAAAAGGAAAAATTGCGACACTCGCTTTTACATTCACAACCACTTTTCATACACCTTGGAAATTTGAATGAATAAAGCAATTTTTCCATGCATAAGAATGAAAAATTCTTCAACATTTCTCTAGCTCCATATCAGCACAGAATGTAAAGCTTCTACAACAGCCTTGAGGTTAAACAATGTAATGTGAGTCGAAGTCGAGATATTTTCCCTTGCTTCAAATTTTCCCGGAGAAAAAAAAAAGTTAATAGCAATGATGGAAAAATCTTTTCGCAAAAATACAATAAAAAAGTCCATAAAACATTAAGATGAGGAAATATAATTAGAAAAGCATATATAATGGCAACAACATGTGCGTGTGTGTTGAATGGATGGGAGGGAGGGTGGCATAATGGAATTTTATATTCTTTTCAGATGGTAGCTCGAAATTAAGAGGGTGAGAGTTTAAAAAGCAGCGCTCTGGTGCACGATAAAAAATTCAAAGATGGTGAAATGTCGAGGGTGAAAATGGAAGAAAATAAAATATGATGCTGGGAGTGGGTGGGTGAAAGAGAAATGGCTTGAATTCAAAACATAAAAGATGTAGAAGGGTGAATAGAAAAGAGAGAAACAAAAAACTGTTTTCAAAAGATTTTACCGTTTCGGTTCTGCTCTAAAAGAGAAGGAGAAAAACAACTCGAGCCATTTCAAAGCATCTTCCAATGTCGTTGCTTCACTCTTTTTATGTTTTTGTTTATATTTAATTATATTTTCTGAACATTTCCTCGCTTTATAGTCGGCTCAGTGATTTTTATTGCCACCCACGCAAAACCGCCCCAAACTTCTGTTTTAATAAGCGCCTCAAAAGAAAAAGGCGAGAAAGAAGAGGCAAGAAGAGAGATGAGATTTTTGTTCATGGTAAAAAGGGAAAAAGATTAATGATTTTGTAGAAGACACGAGTGCTGTGTTGTTTTTTGGAAAACTTCTGCAGTTACGTCACTTTCTTACTCATTTTTGTCATGTCTTTAAGTAATTCTTCAATTTACCGAATTGCAAAAATATTTCAATGATTGTCTAATTCAAACTTACTAATCAAATCGAATCTGTCATCACTCACGATCATTTCCATCTTAATTCACGCACCCCAAGACAAAATCTTTTCCACAACACAAAAGTTTTCTTTTTCATAATTATTTTCCATGGCGTGGAATAATTAATTTTTCTTGCTAAATTTTTACTCCCAAAAGCATCTGAAAGAAAAGTGGAGATCATTAGAAAAGAAGAAATGAAATGTTTAGAGTGCGAAACAATAGCAATTAACAAACTCACAATAGCTAAGGAAACGATATTTGATAGCAAAAATTTCTTTAAGGAAATCTCTTTTGAAACGTAATCAGTTTTTATCGCGTTAAGGGTTGTTATTTTTCAGAGGAGGCGCTTGAATTTTGTGCTTGCTATAAATAATTTAATTAACGCTGTGTACGCGTTTTGCGCTTCGATGAAAATTTAAAAACAAAGAAAACTTTTCTCGTCTTTAGGGGAATGTGATAAAACAGAGGAAAGATAAGGAGAGTGCGAGTAAGTAAGAGGATCTTGAAATGGTTGAGATTAACAGATCTACGTACTTTATAATCTAATTAAATTAAATTTCGAAACTTCTTTCCTAATTATTTTGTCTTTTAAGAATATTTAGGCTTAAGCATCTCAGAACTTCTGACCTCGAAAGCTTCTTTTCATACCTTAAAAATCGTTTAACGTGTGGTGTGCTTTGAATTTAATAAAATATTATGAGTAAGCTTTGCATATGTGATGAATGCTTCTTTAAATTCTGTGAAAGTACTTTCAAAAGCAAATTAGTTTTACAATCATACCACCCAGCCATTTCATTTCTCATTTTCTTTCGAGCTATTTTTCTATAACTAAGGTGCGCCCTAGAAAGAATAACATCAGCCATTACTCGAAAAATATAGTAATAGAAATATTATAGCATTGCTGAGATGAGAGACGAACGACAAGAGCAAAGGAATTAAACCTTCTTTCATCTTCCCTCACTCTTTCCACATCACCCGCTTTTATTTCTTCTTCAAAAAATATTTCACATCGTATTTTTCCAAGCTCAAAAGCGAGAGGGAAAAAACTTTTTCTCCATCGCACGAAACTCGAGAAAACTACGGGAAAAAAGTTTTTCATCTCCAGCTACGATGATGTATGGGGCCTTGAGATGGAAACAAAAGCTGTAGAAATGGCGGTTGCAAATGGAGGTGGAGTTGGGTGAAAAGAAACTACGAAAAAAGCATAAGCGAAGGAAAAGTTTTAATGCTGCAAGCTCAAAACCAAGGAAAATGAAAAAAAAATGGTGGCTTGCGAAACAGTCTGAAATTGATTTTCAAGAGAAGCTTTTAGTCAGAGAAAATATTTCTTCTTGAATTTTAAAAGATGCAAGTAAAAACCATTTTTGTTTATTTTAATGAAGGTAAAAAAGTCAGTTTGTGAAAACAATTCTCACATAATTTCCAGTCGTATGTTTTTTCTGGGTGAGTTCATGCAACGGATACCTCGAAGCATGAATTTCAAAGTTTGAATTAAAACAGTGATGTAAATAAATGTTAGAATTTTATATGAAAGTCACGATATTTTTTCATCTCGCTATTTCACTTCTACATTCCTCAAGATAATCTTCAAACAACATTGAAGAAAAAGTATATAAGGTTGCTGTATCTACGCCATGAAACGAGATGGAAGGTTTTTTTACTTCTCGTTGGCTACAGATATTCTTTAGACACCCTTCCATTCCAACAAACTTTCACCCAACATTAATTTTGCTTTTCAAACTTCTTTTTTATCCTGCTGCTTTTCTCGTAACAACTCAGTAAAGATAAAGCTGATTTTTCGATGGTTTGAGGTCTTGACGTTCAAGGTTTTTTACCAGCTCGATCCTCTTAGTGTTTGTTAAGAGGGTGGAATATCTGTTCTGTTGAATAACCCTTGCGCCTTTCACTTGCTTCACGTTTCGAAGCAACAAAAAATCTTTACGTTCTTTTTTTAGTATTCTCGAGATGTCTTTCATATATCCACATAAATATATTTTATTTTCTATGTTTTTATCACTTTTCGTTTTATATACTGTTTAATGTATAAAGATTTGAATTTTCTTTTTTTTTGTGGGGGAGAAATGATGTTGATTGGGATTGTGAATGAAAGTCAAGTTGAAAGACTTCAAAAACTGATATCAGAATGATGTCTGGATGTAACATAATTTCACACTGTTTATTATTATCAAATATTATTCTGACCCAATTCAAGTTAACTTCCCTTTTCTAACATCAGCAATATAGAAAAGAAATAAACACAAACACCTAAATAATTCCATTATGATGAATGCCGTAAAAAAAGTATCAAAATGAAAAGGATTTTCTTATCTACTTGAGTTTTTATAGCTTTACATGTGTTTGTCTTGACTTTAAGGTATTTTAAAAAAGGGAAAATTATAACTCACTTTTTCATTATTCTACATAAATATTTTATATCAAATAAGAAACTTTCTTGATGTGATGATGAAAATTTTCTTAGAATTCTTTTTCATATTTTACATCTACATAAAGCTTTAGCATGATAAACAGAAATTATAATTTTTCATGATGCTGCAAAATGCTTCGTCTTCGTTGTGAAGCTGACAAAAAAATCTCAAAGGCACATCATGATCAAATGAATGAAGTTTTTTAAACCAAAATACTTTCATAAATTCCAAAATATGAAAGAAAGTTTTTATGAGAAATTTTCACTTTTATCATCAATTGTGATCCTAAGCATAAATATTAATAAGGGATCAAAAAATGGATTTGGTTGGGAAAAGGAAACCAATGTTTGAATAATATAAAGGAAATTGTAACTAACGAAGGGATGAAATTTTCTTGCTTGTGTCTTCGAAAAAAGATGAAAAAAGAACTTTTAGTTTTATGTTTAAGCGAAGTCATTAATTTTTTGCTGATAATTCAAAAGCTTACAAGAGATTATTTTGAGAAGTAAACTTTATGATTAGGTATTCATTTTGAGAGAGATCTTTGAAGTTTTCGTTTATGGTTTGAGCATGAAACGTTTCATAGCAACATACAAAGTTAAGGACAACTTTATTCGAACATTCCAGTGGCTAAATAACTAGAAATGAAATTCTTTGTAATATTGATTTGATTTTGTACCGTCAGACATATGCGTAGGTAGCAATTATTAGTGCATAAAATGAATACCTCACTGAACAATTCACAAATTCGACATAAAAATATTTCTTTTCATCCTTTGTTTAATAAAAGTTCAAAAAGCAACTTGAACAAGAACATGCGTGGAAAATATTTCGGAAATTTTCAATATTCGCAACTAATAAATTATGCATTTATTGATTTTTTCTTCTCGTCTCCCTGTTTCCGATCACATTTGGAAAGAGATGTGGCTGTTTATTTTGGACGCTGTTAACTGAACTGTCCTCCCCATTTGTGCTTCAACATAAAACATGATACATCGAATTATGTTTTTCAACTCATTAATTTCTGAAATGGTAGAGAAATGCAGAAGAGATTGTGAAGCCGGAACATTCAATTCATAAGCTCCCCGAGGGTACATAGAATGAGCAACTTTAAGTTGCATTCCACTTTCATATTTTTAACTCGCTGTTTATAACGCAAAAAACAAGAATGGACAAAGAATGAATAAATGCATTCCACATTACGTGATGTATTATGCCTGCAAACAAATGCATGAAGCTCAATAAAAGCATATAAAAGAATGCAGAAAAATGAGGAAGAAAAAGTTGTGATTTTAATTTCAATCTCCTGCTTTTCATACCACCCACATATCCATTTCAAAAACATAGAATTCTGGGACCAAAGGCAAAAAGCATCACCATGGAAACGGACACATTGCAACTGCATTTTAATTACATTCACATTTTTATTTCTATGTAATCATAATGTAGGGATTATGGCGTTGTTTCAGAATTATTATTATTATTATTATTAAAATTCCATTTTGGCTGGTTGATTTTAATTTTCATCGAATTTAATATCGAGAGAAGAGAAGAATGAAAAGTTGAAACGAGTGAAACATCGAAGCAAAGTGACATTTTTATGAAGCCTGTCGTAATAAATTTCCCTTTTGTTAATTAATTTTTCGATAAATTTTTGTATCTACAGGAAATTGAATTTAACTAAAATTTCGCGAAAATTTCATAGATCGCGGAAATGGGAGTCGAATTTCGATTAAATTAGAAATCATTTCATAATTTTTATTAAAAAGAAAGCAGATTAATGAAGTAAAGAAATTTTAAAAGACATATGAAGACTACCAGTTGCATTTGAGAATAAAAAAGAAACAAACCAGCTTTCCATATGTGTCAACTATGAATGTACGCAACAAAAAAGACTCTCATAAATACTTTACTCTCCTAACCACTGCCCATCCTGTGTATGGACGTCCTTCTTTTGTGACAATGCCGTACGGCACGACAACAAATAATAAGCAGACAGTCCGGTTTTTTATCGTGAACAGATGGTTTCACGTTTTTCCACTCCATAAGTGAATGAAAAAAATTTTAGTGAGAAAAAAAAGCTGAAACCAGAATAACGGTAAATTTATGATCTTCAACAAATTTTCTTCTTATGTTGTTGCCATTGCGTTGTCCAATCTCATAATTACATTTATGTTTCCAATTTATGGTTTGTGTGCTGGCATGTTGTGAGCCTTTTTTTACATAACTTTGCATTAGTAGATTTATTTTCATTAATTTACTGTTTAAGCCTTCTGGATGTATTGTGATGTCTTGCAATAATTTCAATATTATCCAACATTCAATAATCGAGTGATTTCTTAATTAACACAATTAGAATTGAATGAAATCTCAAATGAAAAAACCCATTCACAATTTGACTCTTGACCAAGCCAAACCAACAACATTTTTCTCACATAAATAACCTCATAACATTCCATTTACCAAATATTGCGTTTTGTCTGTTCCACACATAAAAAAGTGGCATGAAAAGACTCGTGAAAATCGCTCCCCTTCAGAAAGAATTAAAAAAAGCTCACACTGTTTTTAATTCACAATTTCAATTTGAAAACAAAATAAATGTTTTTACGCTGTTTTGCAATGTCAAAATAAGAACGGGGAGAAAAATTCATCGGAAGAGATTTTTTCATTGTGCTTTGTCTCTTGTTGATGTTTTAGTTTTATTTGTAGCATTATTTGGTGTTGCTGGTCATTTATTGTGGATTTTCTATCATCAGATGAATCACATTTCATCTAGATAACCGAATTATTGTGCAATTCATTAATTTTATAATAAAACATTCGATGAGTATTCCAGGAAATGTTTTAATCTCTGTTTCATCTAGTTAAACGCTTTTATCTATGAATCCACCATAAGCTCAGTTAATTTGCGTGATTTTTTTTCTCATCATCGCTGTTTTTTATCCTACATGTTGTTATGTATGTTCGGAAAATATGTAAATTGCTAAAGCATGCAAAAAAATCTTCCCCCGTGTGCGATTTTTCAGCGGTTTCAGACGGTTTGGAGACGAGAGAATGGCAAACCACAAACTTCCCTCGCAAATCGCATAACCGGCCTCTCGTCTGTCCAGCATTCATGACCTCGAAATGTGTGGGAAATTTGCATCATTTTCGTGTCTCCTTTCTCGCGTCAGCCTCAAATCGGTGCGTTTAAAGAATTTTCCCTATGGGCATTGTTTATTTGGTGGTTTTCATTTTTTTTTATTCAGAGAGATTATTTTTCACTTGGTAAACGCTTTCAAAAGAGAAGGAGAAAGAATGACGATGACGGTAATTTCATTTAGCTCAAACTTTTTTTTTTGTTCTTTGTGAAGTGCGACTTTTTTTTGTCAATATAGCACTTGATGAGGTGCAAATGATCCGCTTACCGTCCTTGCTTTCCTCTCGTGTTTTTCGCGGAACATTTTTTCGACTTCTCTGATATTATTTGCTTAGTAAAACAAAATGTTTTGTCGGTTAATTGATTTATGGCTCAAAAATGCTTCGAGTGATTTAAAAATCAATTAGAAGCCGTTTATTGTGTAACATGTAACAAAACAACGTAAACAGAACATGAAGATGATGTTGATGATTATAATCGGTGATGTCATGACAAGGGATGGAGTTGGTTAACTTAATTATCAGAGAATTGTTTGAGGGGAAGATGCATACAATATGGAAATCAATAAACAATTGTGAAAAGAGAATGAACTAGTTTCTATTTGAAGGACACTTTAAACGAGACTTTAGCTATTCTCCAAATCAATACATTATTGATTACTTACAACGGAAGATAATTGAACTTTAAAATTTTATTTATTTGATCAATAATATGAAATATTTCAGAATGAATGCAAATTTGAACAACAACTTTCCGAGTTCTTTAGTTTTATTTTGTGTTTTATTTGAATAAATATTTTCAGTACAATCAATAATAAATAATCTTTTGATTATTCTTGTTGAAAGACTTCTCAAGTAAAACTTTAAAATCATTTGAAATCTGTTTTTGTCACCTGAATGTCACCTCATCAAAGTCAACACTTAAGCGTTGAATTAAATATTCCAATGACTCGTTCATTTGAAAATTGAAATAAGTCTAAAAGACTTGAAAATATGTTGGTAAAAAGTATGGGCGGAGTCGAACAAAATTTTCCCCCGTACAATAAAATGAACCTTCATTTTTAGATTGCTTATAAAATCCCCTCCAGTTTCACCCTTTGATGGTTTTTGAAAAATTTTCAATAGCAGTACTTTCAGTAGTGTCATCTTGTGAGGAAAAGTGGAACTTAAAATGTTTCAGCTTTTGTATGGTTTAGAAGTCCTTTCAAAATGTCATTGATGATGGTAATGACTCCTATCAATGATGATTATTAAATATTTTCTCACCAGATGGCATTATAAGCATGACTTGATACTCGTTCTGAATTGGAAACTTCTTCGATCAATATAAGTTAGAAAATTAATTTTGAAATATTTTTCCTTAAAATATTTAACAATAATTATCTTCAATTTCAATCAAGTAGATTTTCTCTAAATCCCTGGATTTTTCTGATGTGTTAACTTCCCTCTTCATTTAACTATTATTTCAATCCCATTACACAATACACAGGTAAAGAGTTGCACATAATAATGTTTTTTGTGAGTGATGATGTAACAAAAGGTTTGGTGTTTACTCTGATGGACTCTGATTTAATTTAAAATTTTAATTTCGACCAAATATCAACGGCAAAAGAACTCATGAATTCAGGTTTTAAAATTAAAATAAAATTGTAAACATGTAGAGGAAATAAAATATCAAACCAATAGATGATGAATTTATGAGTTGACAATTGAAAATCTCTAAAGATTTGGTTAATAATTTAACATAAATATTTACACGATTGCCAAGCGCGTTTAAATGTATCGTAATAATAAAAAAGGAGTCATGTATTGGTCCAAGCATTAAAAATGCATCAACAACAGTTGAAAATGACTGGTGGGCAAATTCATTCTTCACAAGTGATGTTAAATTCTCCAAACTAAATACACTTGAAAAACAAAATTTCATCGAGTGACTTAACTTTTGAATTTTTGCATGAAAATGAAATTAAAATCCGCTCTTATTTCTTCATATAAATCGTTGGGGGAATGAATGTTTTATAAAAATTAAATATTTATCGACAATATCCAACAACGGACGAAGCAAAGTTTTTGTGCATAATCTGTATGTGCAATTTTTCCGGGGATGCAATTTTCTACCTTTTTCCCTTTCCAATCCTTTTGTTGTTTCCTCTCTCCACATTCATCCAACTGCATCGATGAAAAGCCTTCCTCCCCCTTTGAATGTTTGCATACAACCTCCAAAAATACAAAACAGCATCATAGGATCAATAACTTTTGCTGCTTCTCTCGCGAACGTGTTCAGTGCTCGATGAGTATGCGTAAAAAACGGAAAAAATTTAACTCACAATAAGGTTTTTTGTCCATTTTGTAAAATGCAAAATGCATGCTGCAACAACGTTTTTCTACGCATGCTGAATGCAGTTTGCACTCTGCTATTGTTGCTTATTTTTTCGCATAACTCTTACGAATTCATTGAATACAAATGAAAGACATGAAGATGAATGAAACCACTGAAATGTGAACCTTTCGAGTCTTATTCTACTCAACAAGACATTGACCTTTTCTTAAAATCTGTTACAACATTAACATGGAAATTTTAACGGTTCTTAACTGCTATCTGAGGTCTATAAGAACAAAAAGGTTGATATTTTCGAGAACAATAAGAGCGAACCAATTTTGAAGAAGAGTCCAAACTGGCATATGTTGCGTTTTTTGTCAAATGTTCACTACGGGTTAGTTTAATTGAAGAAGGGAATAACCTGAGAGTTGCAACAGGAAGGGTCCATTCAAACTGATTAGCATATTTCGTTTAACTCTTTCAAGGAATTGATGTACGGGAAAGTTTTAAAATGGAATGGATTTAGTCATTCATCTGTTTCAGTGGATGAGATTTTATGGTTTTTGGAAGACCAATAAATTGCAAGAATAACTGTAGAGCAAAATCTAACTAAATAATGTTCGTTTAACATCATTCAATTCATTCCTATTTATTAAATTATTCTGCTTTGAAACTTTCCTTCATAAACACTCTTAAATCGCAGTTCTTCTTCATTTCCGAAAAAGCCATCCCCGAGAAAGGTCAAAGCCATGATGATGCTACAACATACATGCACAATGTTGTTGTTGCTATTGAATGTATGTTCCGCTTTCTTTTTTGTTGTGCATTGTTCTTTGGCCCTTCTTTTCATGCAACTTTTGTTTTATTTTTTATTCCCGTTTTGAATTATTGTCCAGGTAGATTTATAGGTCACCATTTCCAGTTAACCATTCTGTTTCACACCTGTCCCGCAATTACCCCCTGCAATTGGTAAAAAGCAATTGTTAAATAAGTTTATTATAATTTAGTCTTGTTCGTTTGCTTGCTAAATAATGTTGCTTTTTTTCAACATACACAATTTATTTCAAATAAATTTATTATAAAGCGTGTTCTTATCAGCTTGTTATTCAAAGTGGTTATTAAAGACGTCAATGATTGAAGTGAAAATTCTTAAAGTTCCCTTCTAATTGAATTAATAGAAGACAGAATGCGATGATGTGATTTCATTGCTTGTTACCGTGACAAATTTCGGATGAAAATGTGAATGAAGTTTGATAGGCTTAAATGTTCAATTAAATTGGTAATTATTTAAAACCAAAATAGAGTATTTGAAAGAAGTAGAATCAATAATATCAGATAACTATTACAAGAATGACATCGTGCGTCAGAAACAAGAGTAGAAATCAAACAAAGGATCACCATTTCGACTCAATTTTCATTCTTTTTTCTTTCGTTTCACTTTAACACCCTCGACACCATCGTGTTGTTTGCCATCTTTAATGTGAATTTAATGCCCACGCAAATATTCTCATCCCACATCGAAACCATCACAACCCTTTTCCCAATTTTTATATTTTTGTTTTTCTTCTTTCACTTTTTTCCCTTTTTTTTAATATTTTATCCAAATGGCAATGCTGCAAAATGCTTTTCTGATTCAATTTCTTTATACAACCGAGAATAAAAATATCCAAAGGCCAAGTCGAGAAGGAGGAATGGAAATTGAAAGAAGAGATAAATGTCCTTAAAATTTGTGAAAGGGTTGAAATAAAAATTTATGAGATAATTGTTAACGAGGGAGTCGCAATGAGCTAAATTTTTGAAATATGAAAAAGTTACTAAAAGAGATCATCCGAAAAAAATTAAAAAGTGCAGAAATTATCATCGAAGTTCTCTAAGTTTTCATCCCTTCGACAATCATTTGACAAAGACGAGCTTGAATTAATGAGATTTCGTTTCATCCCGTCAAAGTTCGGATTTATTTTTCCTTTTTAATGGAAAGTGCATTTCCGTCAACCCTCGCGAGATTTATTAGAAAAAAAAGAAGAAAGAAAAGAACAAAAGTGAAACCCAAAGAAGCATTGTAAACAAATCAAAAACACCCTCTAATGACGTCCTATTTGAAATGGGATTTAATTCATTTTCATGCCGAGATCTGCTAGCAAATGGTGCATTGAAATATGGTGGAAAATATTCAACTTTCTTGTCATTCAATACCCATAAATTTTTCAATCATTTCATTATTTTTCTTCATTTCATGACAAGAATGAAGCGTTTATCAGTTTCACACAAAATTTCCTTAAAAACAAAAGAATCATGAAAATGAAAACTTTTTTAAATGTTAACTGAGATAACAAAGAATTTTCCCATGAGCTTCATCACAAGTCAACAATCTTTTCTCACACTACATAATGAAACAAGCCTATCGTTCATAATTATGTAACCGCAAGTGCCACAAAACTCAATTGGAAAATTTTTGACTGATAAATATTTATTTTGTCTTCTCTATATTGAATAGACTATCAAGCTATGATTGCTTCTCATTGAATGTTTTCTTTTTCTCTTTTTCAACAAAAGCTTCTTCATTGATGAGAATTTGCAAGATTTTTCTTTCTTCAAAAGAAGTTTTAAATGTTTTCAATTCTCTTGTCTTTTACTTTACATTTTTTCACACTATCATAAATTGAGCAATCTTGGCGCACCCAAAAGCATTCAGCTGAACCCTTTTTAATTAAAAATGAAATAAAAAAAGATGAGGTTGGCTATTCAGAATGAAAGAAAACTTTGCTGATTCGAAAAAGAAGGAAAGTTGTTTCACTTCACAACAAACCTAGCCTGCCGAGTCAAGAAAGGTCGATCTTGAAAACAATGAAGAAGCAATCTTAACCAATTTTTCCTTTTTCAAAGTCCTTCTCGGCCATGCATTTACGGCATTCATTTTTTACAATAAAAAACAACAGAAAAGGCGAAAACAAAAAAATTATAATGGAAAAAAGGATTCAACGATTTCAACCCTTTTTCCTTCACGTTTTAATTTTTGCGCCCAACTTCAATCATCAAGACATTTCAACACTTTCCGACGAATTGGCCAAGGCAAAAAAATAAGAAAAAAGTAAATTTTAATTTCAAGAAAAGAGCAATGATTGTGAAACTTTGTCTGTTGTCATGGATGGTGTGGGGGAAAGGCAAACGAAGGAAATCGCGAAATAATCAAACATCCTTTCATTCTTCTTTTTTTTCATTTCTTTCATTCTTCCGCTTATTATTAAACGAGAAAATTAGTTCAAACACCCTTTTTGATTGGACTGGTTTTGCGTGAACTGAATATGAAGCAATTTTCATCTTCCTTTCTATCTTCCGGCTTGATTTTTTAATCAAATTCTTTCTGGTCATCAAATGATTTAATTAGAAATTCTTTTATTACTCGAAATGAATCCTAATTGTATTCGTTATGAATCGTTTCGTTTCTTCTTATAAATACAATTCTTCAAGCTGAACATTCGCAAGTCATTTCACTTCAACGAGTAGCGAATAAACTTTTCGATGAAAAATGATTCGAAACAAAAATGAAAAGTTTGTAAAACTTTTCAAATTTTTTTTTAGATATTTTCTGTTGGAGGAATCTCAGAAATTTCACCTTTTTACTTCAGTGGTCAAAGCAAAGAGAAGATTGCGAGAAAGGTGAAATGATAAAATGAAAAACTTTTCAGCGAAATGGAACTTTTAGAATGAGAACAAAATGAATTCCTAACAACAAGAAGAACTCATTTCGCTTAAGGAGAAACTTTTCCTAAAGAACTTTTCCAAGAAAAATAAAGTTTCTCTGAGTTTTTCTATTCGAAGGAAAAAATAACAAATTTCTGTGAGTTTTTTTTCTTTCATCAACTTCAACTTTTAAAAATAAGAAAAGTTTTTAAAAAATTTCACTTTCCTTGACTTTGGGAAAGTTTTGCTGTTATTTGTAACAAGCAAAGGTTTGAAATATGATTGAAGTTGATTACGATGAGAAGAATAAATCAAAAGCTTTAATTTTTTAAGTGCATTTGATTGATGTTATTGTTTTAAGATGAATTTCCATTATATGGTTGCTCTACAATCATTGCAATTTGTAATAAATATTAACGCACAGAAAGTATCATTACAATTGTCTTGTGTCTCTATGTTTCTGTAAGTTTTGAACAAAATGCCAATTCAGACACAGAAATTTTCACTTCAACTCTCTGATTTTCAAATTGAGTAACGAAGGGAAAGAAAGCATGCACAACACCGAAGGTTTACTTGTGTTTGTTAGTTGCAATGCAAATAGGAAAGACCAACTTCAAAATATTTAATGCACATTTAGAAAAATAATGTGATGGTGGTGCAATGAAAAACAGGATGTGAGAAAAACGATTTCATATTCTTGTCTGTTGTTATGTCTACAGAAATTTCAAGTTTTCTTAAACGAATAACTCCAAATTAAAGTTGATTGCAATGATTATGGAAATTCGCTTTTACAACGTCAATCATAAATCATATTTACAGAAAATATTTCAATGCTTTCAAAAAATGCATTGTTTAGTTTAAAAAAATATTCCATTCGCTATTATTGAAAAATTTGCAAGCTAATTAGGTAGAATTTATTTCTACTGCCTTTTATGAAAATATGAAAATATGAAAATTAATGTTGTTAACAAGAATCATGAGAGTTTTCTATTCTCATCTGTTATGCTCAGTTTTCATTAGGGATCATTCATCAGTTAAATAATTTAATTCAAAGCGATAATAAACAAGGCCAAAAAGAAAATTTAACTAGATATAAAGGGAAAGCACTAAAAACACTGATTTTAAAAGATTGCTACCAAAGTTTTAAAATAGCCCTTTAAGTAAACTAACAATATGAGAAATAGGCATAAAAAGCTTCCCCATTTTTAAGCATTGAATGCAAATGCAATTCGTACATTTGTGTGAGTTTTCGCATTTCCTCCTTCTCATTCTCATATCGAAATATGTGGAGGAATGCATACAGTTGTGGCTAGTGAAATGACGTGGCTGTACCCTGGCCCAAAAATTTCCCCCGTTTCAAGTGCACAAAATGCATACATTTCTCTGGAACGAGGTAGCATGATGTATATTCGAAATAAAATGTATAAAATGCACATTTCAGCAGACAACATTTAATATGAGTGGGTGGCCTTTTCTCGCCCTGACTAACTACCGGAAAAAGTATGAGTCGGAAAAATCGATGAGACGCACAAAATCTCCACACACGCACGCGTCCACACAAGAAAGGAAAGCCATGTGATTGTATTTATACTGCGAGAATGCACTTTTCCGAACATGCACTTTTAACAGGGTTTTATGTGTGTTCGACAAAAATACAAAGGGCAGTAAGAGATGGCATCAAAAGCCCATCAAAAATTTTCAGTTGTTGGAAAGAGACAACAAATCGAACTTATCCCCTTTATAATTTGCATTTAGGATGCCCATACAAAAGCCGACAGTGAACCAAAATAATGAAAAAAACAAATTTGTTGATGGAATGAGAAATGAACGAGGCCTAGCATTCGAAACATAGATTGTGCATCAGAAAACGAGGCATAATAGGATGACTGTGGGTTTGATGTGGGGAGCTGTGGTGGGTGGAAAAAGTGAACAAATTTGTGTGCGTTTGATGCCCGAAAATAATGAAAAAGTACGAAAAGGCAATCATGGAATCATTTTTGCATATCCTGGGGAGGCAGTTGCAGTTTGCATCGGGCTTGGATGCAGGTTCAACGTGTGCCAAAAAACTCCTGAGTGAAAAAAGGATATTGAAAAAGAAATCATAATTGTTGAAATAATTAAAAATGATATTAATCAGTGAACAACTCTCGATGAACAAAGTTGTATAAAATAGCACGGGAGAAACATTATCACTAATTGTCATTAATTATTCTTCAAAATATTAAAAGAAATATAAAATAATCTTACATTTAATCATTAACAGTTAAAAATAAAATAAAGGAAAGTGAAATATTGATAGAATCACAAAATAAAGTTAAAAATTTCAAATTGGCATAAAGTTCTCAAAATTTCTTTAGAGACAAAACAAAAGTGATTTAATTTAAATTGAAATAAGTTCATCGTGAATAGAAAAAAACTTGAAATTTCGTTGGAATATTTTTTTCACGTGAGGTTCTTTTTTAAATGTG